ATAATATGTTGTGTCCAGGTTGGTTCATCAGGTACTCTGCTATGGCTGACTTTTCTGGCTGAAGTAGGCCGCAGTGCCTTTCAAGTTACTTTATTTGTGTTGGGCACTGTTTGGTGGACAAAGGATTCCCCCAGGCAGGAAGCAGACAGGCTTTGAAGCTGCACGTGAATAATTTCAACAGAAAGGAGAAAACATGAAAATGAACAAAATCTGGCTACCAGCATTAAAAAACTCTAAAGGAAGGATGGTAAATAAAGGGCAGCACTCAAACATCAGGGGAATTTCTGACATGAAACAATCAGGGCCAGCTAACACCTCCCAACAAAGGATATCCCAGGCAGGAATAAACCAGTCTTTGAAGCTGCAAGGCTATTCGATGCTAATCAAGGTAACCAATTGCAACATTCACCCTTGCCTCAAGCAGACAAGTTCTTTATCTCACCCTGGACACTTCACAGATATATAAACCTCACTTGCCTAGTTTCCAACAGACCTCACAACATCTGTGGATGCCTGCCATTGATGTGGGTGAAACGTCAGGAGAGAATACTTCTGAAACATGGCCATACAGCCCGGAAAACTCGCAGCAACCCAATAACAATAGTGTTCGATAATGTTGAAATTCGCATTGACTAATGACAGCCCTATTATGAAAGAGGAACCTCCAAGACACTTTATTATTTACAGCCCTTTTAAGGTCTTACACACGCAAGGTTGTGGTTTCCTGGACTGAATCTACTCATCTGTGAAGTAGTCCTCTTTTTCTACTGCCTTTTACTTTACCAAGCATTATTATGAGGGTTGAATGAAAAGTAATGCTTCCACCTTCGTTACTTGGGTTTGGATGGGAATATTTTAATAAATCAAATGCAGAAATAATCCTTAGAATGTACTTTTTAACAAACTATTCACTTTTCCACATAATCACCAGACAATTGGATACATTTCTGCCAACAATGAACAAGTTTTCTGAAGCCATCATGGAAGAAGTCAACATTCTGTTTTCGCAACCAGCATCTCACAGTTCTCTCAACATCTTCATCAGAAGCATAATGATGTCCCCGCAGATCTTCTTTCATTATCAGGAACAGATGGAAGTCAGATGGTGCTAAATCTGGACTGTATGAAGGATGTCGTATGGTGATAAGATCCAGTCTCTGAAGTTTCAAGTCTGTGCGCTTTCATTTCAGGCGCCAGCATCCTGGGTACGCATCATGAACAGATTTTCCGATAGCCAAGCAAAGCAATAATGTGACCCACATGTTCTTGTGAAATGCTGATTATGCTTGAAATTTCTCTCTGAGTGATACGATTGTCCTGAATCAATCTGTCAATCTTTTGCTTTTGAAACTCGGTGGTTGCTGTTATAGGACATCCAACTCTTTGTCACGCAAGTCAGATGTTCCCACCTCAACCGACCGTCTGCGCAGGGTTCCATACTTTGCACTTTAACAACACAACCGTTCAATGCTAAGGCTTCCCACCAAATTGGAACTGTAGAGGAGAGTCTACTGAACAAGCCAGTACTTGCCGCATACCAATACTGCCATCTGTTGAGAAGTTATGAAGGTGGAGGCATTACTTTTCATTCAACCCTCATATCTTTTTTGCGAGCCATAACCTCAGTTCAATTGGCTTATCTTCTAGCAAGAGATGAGGCCCATTTATTTGTCTTTTCAGCAGTTCATGTTATCTATAGATCTCTCCACCGCATTTTGAATGAGTTGATTTTTCTCCTATCAGAACACTTTTCACTGTCCAGCTTTCACAAGAACAGATAGAAGTTCAAAATGCGATGACATTGATAATGCTGACTTTGAAATTCAATGATGTATAGTTAAATCTGAGGGTTTTATCTAGTTCTTTCATGGCTGCCCTTCTAAATCCTATTGTTCTGATTTCTTGGCCGCAGTCTCCATTTTGATTTATAACTGAGACAAGGTAAAGAAAATCTTTAATCATTTCACTGTCTGCAGTACATAGTACTATCTTGAGAAATAAATATAGCAAGCCTTTTTTCCCCTGAAATGGATCTGATCTAGACTGTGACTTCTAAAAAAAAACCCCAAAACAATATTTCTGACTTGTTTCTTTGAGTCTGTTTTCTTTCTCTCTCTCAAATATTTGGTATACTTTATACCAAGTATAAGCATTCATGTGGACCAAATTAAACAGACTCTGGCAATATTGAATGTACGCTTCATGACAACAGACACTTCAGAGTGACAAGTGGACAGAATGGGACATCACAAGGCATAGAGGACACAGTCACACTTGGTTACTTTGCCAACATGATTGAAGACACATGTAAAACACAGAGCAAGTCCTTACAGACACCCTCACAAATTACTGTGGCTTGGCAGGCTCGGACACTAGTATTTTTATTTAGCAGTATGAGCTGCTAAATAGTAGCCGATTTCATAAAAGAGCAGTTATCATAGACGGCTAATGTTTTGCTTCGAGGAGAGTGTTACATGCCATTATGCTAAATGTGTTTCCAAATCTTTACCCTTGACAGTGTTAAGCCTTACCAGTTAACTACTCTCATCAGGCAGTTTTTAAACATCCATCTAGAATTTATGCAATGAATTTTGGAGACTCAAATGATTGGCTATAACCCAGTGCTTCTCAACCTTCCTAATGCTGCGACCCCTTCATACAGTTCCTCATGTTGTGGTGACCCCCAACGATAACATTATTTTTGTTGCTACTTCGTAACAGTCGTTTTTCTACTGTTATGAATTGTAAACATCCGATATGCAGGATGTATTTTCATTCACTAGACCAAATTTGGCACAAATACCCGATACGTCCAAATTTGAATACTAATGGGGTTTGGGGGGATTGTTTTTGTCATTTGGGAGTTGTAGTTGCTGGGATTTATAGTTCTCCTACAATCAAAGAGCACTCTGAACTCCATCAAATATAGAACTGAACCAAACTTGGTATACAGAACTCCCATGACCAACAGAAAATACTGGAAGGGTTTGGTGAACACTGACTTTGAGTTTTGCAGTTGTAGTTCACCTACATCCAGAGAGCACTGTGGACTCGAACAATAATGGATCCAAACCAAATTGAATCCAGATCCATTATTGGCACAAATACTCAATATGCCCAAATGTGAACATTGGTGGAGTTTGGGGAAAGTGGACTTGGAAGTTGTAGTTGCTGGGATTTATAATTCACCTACAATCAAAGAGCATTCTGAACCCCATCAACAATAGAATTGGGCCAAACTTCCCACATAGAACCCCCATGACTAACAGAAAATCCTGTGTTTCCTGATGGTCTTTGGCGACCCCTCTGACACCTCCTCATGACCCCCCAGGGGCCTGACTCCCAGGCTGAGAAATACTGATATAACCAATGGCAGTTACAGTGGTGCAATGGGTTAAACCCTTGTGCTGGCAGGACTGCTGACCGAAATTCAGGGAGTGGGGTGAGCTCCTGTCTGTCAGCTCCAGCTTCTCATGCAGGGATATGAGAGAAGCCCCCCACAGGATGATAAAACATCTGGGTGTCCCCTGGGCAACGTCCTTGCAGACGGACCATTCTCTCACAGCAGAAGCGACTTGCAGCTTTTCAAGTATTCCCTGACCCACACCCACACAAAAACAACAACAACAACAACCAATTGAAGTACAGTACATTTGGCATACATCTTAAGAAATGTGCAACAGGTTGAGTCTAAAGCACAAAGCATACTGTCATTTTGACACACAGGACATCATATTCAGGGAACATTTGGTTCTTTAGATCTTGTGGCCTACAACTCCTCAGACCCCTTCTGTTTAGCCATGGAAAGACTGCAGTACACACTTTTTTATTTCCTTCTTGAACTAAAATGTAGATTAGTACTTATTGTGAAATTCAGGGAGGACTGAGAAAGATATTCATGAAGTTGGGTTATGTTGTATTCACTTCCAAAGTGACATGACTGAAATAACAACAGCTACCCTATGAATTCATCCCCATTTTTGGGCATAGCTGTGCTTGGATCATGGCACAGAGTAGTCAAAGGTAGTCTGTAGAAAAGAGGAGTGTGTCCCAGAAAAAAATTGCAATAACACCCAGAAAAATATGTTGATGTATATAGAGCTTCACGTATACAGAACCTTCAGCCATCTTAAAAAGGTGGGGTGGATACTTTCCTTGGCTCTCCCAATAAGTTACTTGAGGAGTACCAATATTTCTTTCTCGAGAAAGTGCTTTGGAAGGCCTAGAGAGAATTGGCTTAGCAACTTGTTCTCTGCTAAAGGGTTGGTTTGTGACTGGTACTTAGGACTGACAACAGACTATAGTGCCCTATGGCTGGAGCAACTGCTCCATAAACAATTCAATAACAGCTGGGGCAGCAATGTGCCCGGTGTAAAAGGAAATAGTGTTCTTGGTGGCATCTGTCATGAAACTGGAGGTCCTATACAGCTTGAGCAACGTCCTGTGTGAAGTCTCTCTATTTATGTCAAAGTTAATCACAAAACCTACTTATAATGTGACAAGCTGAAGCTTGATAGGATTTATTGATAGCAAAATTTGATCTTTTTCTCCATGATCCTTTAGAGCAGTGGTTCTTAACCTGTGGGTTCTCAGGTGTTTTGGCCCACAACTCCCAGAAATCCCAGCCAGTTTACCAGCTGTTAGGATTTCTGAGAGTTTAAGGCCAAAACATCTGGGGACCCACAGTTTGATAAACACTGCTTTAGAGAAGCATCACCTTCCTTAAATGTCAGGGCCTAGAATGGAAGACTGTGGTATGGGCATCCACCAAGGGACATTACGTAAACAGCAAAGCAACCCACTTTTTGTGCTAAACTGTTGGATCATGTAAAAAATCAGTTGGTGAGTGTGTTAACCAAAAAATACGAAGCATTTTTGGGTCACACCCAGAAGCTAGCTGAGCCTGGGAGTTTTGGCAACAGTTACATGCTTATGTTTTCTGTGCAGGAGCTTGCTAAGACAGTATTTTTTTGCTTCTTGACTGCTGGAAGGACTTCATATGGACACCGAAGGACCATTTGAAACTCTCTCAAAAAGGACAATGTGTGAGTCAAAGCAACTGTTCACATTACTGTATATGTTGCTCTGCATAACAAAGAGTAAACACCTTATTCTTTACTGATCATCTACATGGCATATCTTTTCTTCAGCAAGACAGTATGTGAATTGGTAAAGACATGAACTACGCATGATTTTCATCCAGTCAAAAGAAGATGGTCCGAAAAAGAAGTAGAGTCAGTTTATGTGACGGAATGAAAATCATGTGTAGTTCATGCCTTTACCAATGGCTTGGGAGATCAAAATATGGTGAACTGGCAGGGATTTTTTTTTAAATCCAAAATCGTCTGCGTCTTCTAAAGGCACTGATATCTGACTAGATGTCTTGCTAATCCTAAAACTGGACAATTGGAAGGGAGTGGCTAAGAGTTAATTTTGGCACAAAAAATCCTTGACTCAAAAAGCTTGATTCGAATGATAAATCAGACTCATTAAGATAAAGTGTAAAGCTAAGATTAAAAGATTTGCCATAAATAGCAGTGTCAGTTGGGAGGTCCCTGAACCAACTACTGGTTGAGAAGTTATCAGTGTTCGTAATATTCTAATACCTGGAAAACTACAACCACGGTTAATTGCACCTCTACACTTCTGAACTCCAAAGAAACATTTGAAGAGATCTTCTGGGCAAGGCAAAGAAGCAACTTAAGATGAAATCAGAAGGTTGCTGCTATTCTTTCAGCAATATCACATAGCCAAGTCTCCTTCCTCTAACTCAATTTCATGGATGCTTTCTGAACACTTTCCACTTTTCGCATTTGCATTTAACCTACTCGCCAGCAAGTAATATAGTGCAAGCAATAACCAAAGTCCACAATACACCTGATCAAAAGCAAACCAGGTTATTTCAAGCAAGATAAACAAAGGATTTTCACAAGTCCAGGTATCCCAGAATAACAGAACTGGAGGTATTTCATCTTAATGTTTGAAAAAACATGAAGTCTAGGAAGACAGCTGCTAGAACAAAAAACACAAAAGATATTTTAAACCCAAAACCTGATTCAAAACAATGTAAGGTGCCAGAGTCATGCAAAATTAAGTTTTCACACGAACAAAAATAAATTCAAGCACTTGCCTTCGCTTGCCCTCTAGCTTGCCACTACTGAAGTATTAGCATAGGCTAAATAATGAGTTATCCCCAACTTCCACACGTTAAAGGACTGCTGCAGTCCAACAAAGGACTGGAGACTTCAACTCTGGGGTGACATTCCCTGTAAGAGAGTCCGTATTCAGTTTGTTCATCTCATGTAAACATTTTCTTAGGGATGGTTCTTTGATTGTGCTCCAGTACATCATTCAAATGATTCGTTCTGCCATATTCTTGATTGAAAAAAGGTCACAGAGTGAAGCGGCCTCATTGCAGCTGTGATATTCTAACAGGGGTAGCACTATTGAAGTCCAAGAAAAATGGCCCCTCCTGCTGAGGGAGAAAAGTGCTTGGAATAATATTGTAAACACCAGCAGGGAGACTCTCAACTTCCAGATAGCAAAATCCACACCTTCAGAGGCCAAAAAGAGAAAAAGAGAGAGAGAGAGGAACAATTTTAACACAAGATCCAACATTACATGATCAAATATGTATACGTCAAACAAGAGGATACCTATAATCACCGCTATTCTTTTTCTGAAAGCCCAAAGGACCTGGGTCTCCCACTGAAGAGACTGTCACGAGTTCAAGTCCAACACTATATTGCCTGTGAATTCAACACAGATTGTATTATCTTTAGGACACAACAATGGAAAAGAAAAGGTATTGTGGAAAGAGATGTGAAAGGATAAGAAGTTGTTTTCTAGGGTTGTTTGTGCAATTCCATGCAGCTGAAAGATTTTGTACTGAGACTACAATTCTACATTGTCAAAATTAGCAATGTTTAAAAACAGCTTTTTAGTTTGTTGTCGAAGGCTTTCATAGCTGGAATCACTGGACTGAAGTTTTTCGGGCTGTATGGCCATGCTCCAGAAGCATTCTCTCCTGGCATTTCCCCTACATCTATGACAGGCAAAACGTCAGGAGAGAATGTTCTGGAACATGGCCATACAGCCCGAAAAAATTACAGCAACCCAGTTTTTTAGTTTTTATTGCTAAAACAGTGGTTCCCAACCTTTTTTTTTTCTTACTAGGGACCATTTTGACCAGGGACCACTCTCCAACATTAGTACCAAAAGGGCTATGAACAGTCACACTATTATTGTGACTGGGTTTATTGGAATGTTTCTTTTTCCTTAGTAATTTTGATGATGTTGTCTGTTGTTTATGTTTTTGGTTTTATTCTGCTGTAATATGTTGTCCGGGCTTGGCCCCATGTAACCTGCTCCGAGTTCCCACTGGGAAGATGGTGGCGGGGTATAAATAAAGATTATTATTATTATTATTATTATTATTATTATTATTATTATTATTATTACAAACCAGTTTTTTGGTCAACTTTAGAGTTGGTTTGCTTATTTGGGGGACTGATTCAGAAAATTACATTGGAAAGACCACATGAACTCTAGTTTCTGATACAGAACATATGCCATCTAATAGTTGCCATCTGCTTACCCACAGAAAAATATACTTAATAAGCCTCTGAGGGTTTCATGAGACCAGTCACTTTTGTTGCAACGGTCTAGTGATGGTGAGGCTGCGGACCATGTTTTAGTTCTTGAGGACCACAAGTGTTTCGTGAACCACAGGTTGGGAACCACTGAGCTAAAAATATTGATATGATCGATTTGAACCCCATAAGTAAACTAAAGGAAACACAATATGGAACATCATGTAAAGGGATTTTGTAGTCCCTTTGAGACTGAAATAAAGATGTTGGTTCCATAAGATCTTCTAGGCTGATGGACTTAAGTCTATAAAACTTATACTATCAACTTCTTTCTTTCAGTTTCAAAAGTGTTACAAAGATCCCTTGAAAAACTGATCCAAACTGCCTTATTCCACTAATATGTAATATTGTTGACCAACATGTACCAACAGGAAACCTTACCAGGCCAATTAGATTTGACGAAGATGATCGAGATGGTTTTAAACAGTGTATTTTAATGCTGAGATAAATGTTTTTAATGTTTATGTATGCATATAATGAATTCATGTCCCGGCATTGAATGTTTGCTGTTTGTATGCTGTGTTCTGCCCTGAGTCCCCTTTGGGGTGAGAAGGGCGGAATGTAAATGTTTTAAATAAATAAATAAATAAATTATACAATGCATTGCACTGCATTTAATGAATGCATCATGTTACTTTGACTATATTTTGCTACCTGATTTATTCTGCACAAACCTTGGTCCTCGGAGCTCAATAAGGAGTGAACCAGCCTTTTCCATTTGGAACTGGTAAATAGGATTGTTCTTGGAGGTCTCTCTGAAATTGCTACATCCACCAGCACTATGACCTTTCCATTGCCCATTCACCTGCAGGAAAGTCAATCTCGGTCTTAGCATGTATAGATAAATGCACTGTTTCATTTAACATTATCTTCCATCCCTTTCCTATTTTCAAGGCTTCATTAAAAGTTTCAAAGACTCTCAAGCTACACTGACAAAGCTGCAAGTCAGATTAGTATTTCGATCCATCTGCTGTGAAAAACAGAAGCAAACAGGAGCATATTAATAAAACGATACAAAAATGTACTTTTCCTTAAGTGCAGGTGCCACACTAAATAGTCAGGTCCCTTTAAAAGTCTGAATTGCTCATATTCCATGAGAGAAGGTCTGTTGAGTTTCACTGCATTCTGGCATTATATGAGAAACCTGCATATCTTATACTCATGTATATGTCAATTACATGTATAAGTTGAGGGCAGATTTATGGGACAAAAAATATGAGTACGTTGAGGGTAACACTTAGGGGCATATTATAAAGGATGGAAAAGATGAAGCAAAGGGAAACAATGCTAAAGAACTGATAAAGTTCTGGCAGGCATAACTGTTTGTCCACACCCTAAAGTCTGGTTGGGTGAGGATGTAACTGAACTACTAGAAATGCTGGCTGTGTGATGTGTGGGGGATTGCCAGATGAAGGGGGGGGGGGCTTCTACACTGGCATATAAAATCCAGATTATCTGATTTGATAATCTGGATTATGTGGCAACGTAGAAGGGCCCATGGAATAGTGCTTCTTTAGGTTCTCCTGGGAAAGATTAAGACATTCCTTCTGCCATTCTATTCAGAGAAAGGAATGGTTCCTTTTTTTGGGTTAAAAATTAAGATACATTACTTACATTGGTCCACAGATATGGTGAACTGGATATGGAGTATATACAGAAATATATTTCTGTGATGGTGGGTTTGCAACATCAGAGAGTGGTCAGTATTTTTAGTTGGAACCCCAGATGTGACTAAATGACAACTCCCATCACTTTTGATTATCTGCCATGCATACTGGGGATGATGGGAATTGCAACCCAACTGCACTTGTGGCTCTGAAATTGGGGAAAGGTTAAAGGACACTCTAAATTCAGACATCAGATCCATAAGACTTGTTTTTAAATTCAAACCCCGCTATCCTGATTAACAGAACAAACTACGGCCTTCCAGAGGCTACTGTATCGCAACTCTCATTAGCTCTGGTCATGGTGTCTAATGAGGAGAAATACAGAAGCCTAGCATCTGGAGAGCCACACAAAACAACATGGTGGACCAGATTCGGCGTGCAGGCCTTGAGTTTGATGCATTTGGTCGAAACCATTACTGGGCAGCAACAGTTGTGGAAAACGGGAGCCTGACACTGGCGGAGGAGCTCTTAAGACAACTGAAGTAGCTCCATAGTTGACACTTTTAGCATTGTGCTGAAGGAGGCACAGGTAGACCGCTTCTGAATGTCTTCTACCATGAAAGTGAGATAGGAAGACAGGCCTTTAGAGCAGAGATGAGGAAAGTCTCACCTTCCATATATTGCTGAACTGTAACTTTCATTATTCCTCACTTTTGTATATATGAGCTGGGGATTATGGAAACTGCAGTACAATTCCTTACACCTGCATTGAGAGATAACCTCACAACTCTGAGTATATAGGGCTTCAAAAATTTACAAGGCAATTCTCTCGATAATTTTAGGATGTGTATCTGATTTTGTGCATCTGTCTCCCAATGCTCCAGGGTGACCAACATGAACCCAATCATATCTTACCCTTTTGGATACTGTATATGGTGTTGGGATCTTAGAGAAGGTAAATTTGCATGCCGAATATACCTATGATAAAACAAAAAGATTTTTTTTAAAAAAAATAATGTAGTAGTATTCATTTTGCAAAACAAACCCTTATCACGAGAGACAGGGTTGGAACAGAGTGGAAACCATGAATTTTTTGCATTCTTTCCTAATGAAAAATTATGCGTACAGAGATTTCTTTTAAGGAAAACTTTTACGTATCTTGTAAAATATGTGAAGATCCCATAATATCTCCATTATTCTTTCTAGAAATTTTAAAAAGAAGAAGGGTATGGGGAAATGGCTTCCCTTTGATATCTGAATGCTCCAAAAAGCATCAATCCAGAAAAAATATATAAGACAATTTTCAACCTTGTAGCAATCTTCTGGCTCTTATGGCTTTTGTGACATTTCTTATGATCCCAAATATTCAACTATGAAATAGTTGTAACTATCTGTCTTTTCTACTCAGGAAGTAGCTGTTGTAGGACAAAAAAGAGAACACTTCCAAACTATTTGACAGGAAGGGAACTGACAAACACAAAGTTAAGTTCTTCTCTCTTCCTTAGGCCTGTAATGACACACTGGCATCCTTTAGTAACAAGAACTGCCTTTTTACACCACAACAATGTGCCATAATCTAGGAGCCATGTGGTTGAGGGAAGCCAGGGTTTCTCTCACAATATTTTCACAAATTTGAAATCTTCCCTGTTCTTCAGATGTTACAAATGCATAAAAACTAAAATTTTAGATTTTGCTTCAGGTGGAATTCTCAACCAACTTATATTCAGAGGAGACAATGTGTGCAAGACCTTTCTGCTAGAGCAATTTTGACTAGTATTATTTCTATGGCGAGCATAAGAAATTAAAAACCTCTACAACATCACTCCTATAAAACTTTAAATTATAACTATGCGGTTATAAGACTTATCCCAAAGCCAATTCCCTAATATGACAGCTGTGATGATCATTCCTCCCAGGATTTCCAGGTTTTACTCACAAGGGTGTCTATGAGTACATACCCTTAGGGTATAGTGAATTGTGTTCTGTTTCTCATATTGAGAAACCACCAGTGTGAACGTATGAGTCCCTGGAGATGTCAGTGTCATCTTGGTCAGATAATGTGGACTATTGATCCGAATGCCATCAATATATGGTGGTGGATCAGCTGAAAAACAAAAAGACATTTATAGATTCACGTTTGAAAATTCTTTAGCACAGAATAACTTCCTGGAATTGAGGAGCTCTTTTGGGGAAGTACTGGAATCTAACTTCCTGCTGCTGATAATAATAATGAAATCCAATGCCTTTGCTGCCACCTACAGTACTTGCTAAAATCAGGCTGCAACTACAGTAGCTTTCGAAGGTGCAAGAGTGTCCTTTGTATCACTAACTTCTGTGTAATTGTGGAGTAGAAAGCAACAAATTAAAAAAAGGGAAGAGGTTGCAATTCTGACATTGTGAATTGTTGTGATGGTGGTTACCAATGCAATGGGGGACACAAAATGGGTGTGTACGTTGCATGTGGTCTTTTGGTACATTACCCATCCCAATGCAGAATAAGCTTGAATTTTACATTAGTAGGGCACACTAACAACAAGTCTTGCTAACTTTCCAAAATATACTACCTGCAGAAACAAACACGGAGTGGCCATACCATTCATGTCCTGGTCCAACAAGTGGCCGTGTTCAAGTGGCTCATTAAACTATAGTTTGGAGCTGTCCAACTCAGAGGAATAAACTCTACAAAGCTTCACGCGCTCCTTCCACCTTTCCCCCTATACTCCAACAAACCCCAAAGGCTTTGTGTTTTACCATACAAACTTGATAAACTGTGTTTAATTTCAGTTTATTTCAAAAAGCCAACCTCAAACAATGATTTACAAAGTAGAAGATGCCCTGGATTCAAACAACAAAGTATATTGTAGCTGGTCCAAAGTGCAACCCTGTTCTGCAGTGACACTCCAGTGTGGAATATTCTTGCCCACACTGATATTGTTCTGGCACTAAGTAAGAACAGAGCTTGATACAACTACCTCTGGGACATACTGGTAATTAATTTTCATTCAAATCTGAGGCGGCTTTGCATTGTCTAATGCTGTTTTAACTGGTTTAAACCATCTTGTTTTGCCCTGTTACATTGTTTAGTAGGCTGCCCAATCTATTGGTGTAGTGGTTTGAATGTTGTGGCTGTCCAACCTGTCATATGGGGAAGACAGGATGTTGACCCTTACCAGGGTAGTAAACCTTTTTCCCGTCTGTTTTGTATACAACCATTGTGATGAATTCTCGATTGCGTGCAAAGTCATCCTATGGAAAAAAAACCAATTACAAATACAAGTTTACTAGTGTATACTCCATGTACGGTACTCCTAAAGTAACATTTATTTGTGTTACGATTTTCTTATTCATCTAAGATTTGACATAATACAAAAAAGACAAACTCATGTTTAAGTTTTCTACAATTTACTCAAAGGCCAAATTTTTGATGCAGTTCTCTGCGTGCTAAATTTATGTCAGGCAAAAGCTTGTCATCTATTTCTTCAAAGTACAGGTGGTGTTTTCTTATGGTACACAGGCAGTCCCTGAGTTACAAACATCCAACTTACAAACAACCCATAATTAAGAACGGGTGAGACAACAGGAAGTGAGGGATGTCCTCAGGAGGGAAATTCTCTCTTGAAAGAGTTATAATGGGGAAAGGTGTCTCCACTAAAGCTTTATCACCAATCCTTGTTTCTGCACCAAGCCAAATTTTTCAAAATCCAGTTATCAGAGGGTCAGAAAATGAGGTGAACAGGGGCACAGACAGCAAGACAAACACCATAGGGATGTTAACACTTCCCCATGCTATCCAAAGTCAAAAAATATTTATTTTTGGTTGGAGTTGCACTTAAAAGATGTACCTGTTCCTACTTTCAAAGAAATGCAACTTAAGAACAAACTTACAGAACCTATCTTGTTCGTAACTTGGGGACTGCCTGTATTCCATTAGACAGCTTGGTTGGAAGATTAGTGGAACAGAACGAGTTCTGTGAAATGTGTTGTTACCATTGTTACAATTTATATCCCATTTTTCCCCAGTCAGGAACTCAAGGTGATTTATGAGAGTCAAATTAGTTACAGCTAGAAATGTAGTTAAAATGTAATCAAATTATCAATAAAATTAAAAGAAGCTAAAAATAAAACCTACAAATGTAAACAGTAAAGAACTTAAAAGGCCCATTACCCTTGAGCCGAGAGCCCTCAAAGACATCCCATAACACAATGGTGTACAGCTGCCTATAAAAGGATAGAAGGAGGAAACCAGTGTAATGTCTTTAGAAAGTGAATTCTAGAACTTGGGACCAGACGTTGAGAAGGAAAGGGTGGTGGAACAGTGAGATGGGCCTTTCCAAAACATCTCAAGACACAGGCAGGCTTATATAGTGCTCTCCCCGCACCCCCCTAGTTATCATGAGTCAGGGGTCAGACTGTACTTCCATGCTATGTGTTTGGAAAAAAAAAACAGCACATATTCCTACCTTGTCTGTGATGTGTCTGCTGAGAAGAACCCAGACAGCAGCACCACCTTGTGGGCACTGAACCTCCAGTTTGTACTGTGGATTATTGGCCAGGCTGTAAGCATCTTTCATGGGACCCTGTTTTGCATCCCAGGTACTAGAGAAAAGGATAAACAGAGAACAAAGTGGGGGTGGATGCACATAGTGCTTTACTTAAAGAAATTGCAATTCCTACATACAAAATTCAATTTGTCCTAAAGTTTCCAGCAGAGGCATTAATTTCAAATGACAGTGATTCTGATGCGATAAGATATTAATGGGAAGGAACATTTCTTTTATATGGAGCAAAGCAAAAAGAGTGGCAGCAAACCTATGCATGCCAAGGGTCGTCTCAACATGATGTGCTACAGTAATTAAATTATATACCCTGCATATTATCCAATCTTTGAGTCACACTCAAATCCTGGGCTAGTTCTCTGGATGTGAGAAAAGTTCCTGAAAGAAGTATGAAGAGGCCATGAGGATGAGGAAACAAATACAAGGGGAAAATAAATATTGTATTTACTTGAGTCTAGTGCACCATCAAATCTAATGTGAACCTCAATTTTCAAAACTCTGAAACTAAAAAAGCATTTGCTGCCGAATGTAATGTGTAGTAGCATAAAGTGCACTCTTTGTAATTTCGAACAACAAAGCTTCTTGCAATGGAAAGGAAAACCTTGGTATGCAACTATGCTGTAGAATGAATCCATTTTAATTGCCTTGGTTCAATGCTATGGAATCAAGGGGCCTGTAGTTTTACAAAGTTGCAGTAGCACAGCAGTTAAAGCCAAAGGAGGGCCAACAGTTCGAAGCCATGAGTCGGGGTGAGCTCCTGACTGTCAGCCCTAGCTTCTGCCTATCTAGCAGTTCAAAAGCATGTAATGCGAGTAGATCAATAGGTATCGCCTCAGCAGGAAGGTAAAAGGGTGCCCCATTCAGACATGTCTGTGAAAGATCGGAGATGGCTATGGACAGCAGGCTCCTTTGGCATGTAACAACAGCACTTCCCCATGGCGGGAAGTAGAGCATTGCCTCCAGATGCCAGAGATAAAAAAGAGGAAGGCCTTTACCTTATCTGTGTATTGTATGTCGTTGTTTGTGTAAAAAGGCATTGAAATAAAGTGGGATATAAATAAAGTGCACTACACATGCCTCACCAAACTACATATCCCAGAATCGCATAGTATTGAGCCGTGGTTATTAAATTAGAGGCAATGTCTCTCAAATAGGAACTTCTGAAGCAGCTTCCCCTTTTGGCTTTGGCTCAGCACTAAGATTACTGTATGATGTGAATCTAATGAGCACCTAATTTTGGAGATATAATTTAGCCCAAAAAGGTGAGAATTAGAGTCAATAGAGTATTTGAACAGAGAAACAATAGTGATGGGGAAGGAACACAAAGACAAAATTATATCACTTTGATTTAATCACACATTCTATTTCATATCCAATATACTCTCTGATACATTGACCGAGAGGTGTGCCCCCATCAGAGTACACAAGAAAATAATGCTGTAGGCTTGCTGGAAACATGTCTTGCATCATTTTTGTATTGGACGAACCTGTGAATGCATGTTGATTCCTTAAAAAGACTTGGATTCCAGCTCAAATAAATAACATCATAATACTGGCACAGGTCTTCCCAGGAGATCCAAAAAATTCCTACAAAGGAGAAACATGTGATATATTTTTTTCAACAAGCCAATTAGCACACGCTATAGAAAGCAATGGTCAAAGATCCTGTACACTAAAAGCCAGAGAAGCACATACTTTTCGAACCTGACTGTGAATCTCCTGAGTGCCTATACAGTTCGCAAAACCAGCAGAACCCCCAAAACTTTTATTATCCTAGACATTTCTGCATGACAACAGTCCAGTGACTACCAAAACAAAGAGAAGTAAGGGAAATAGACCACCACCAAGTAAAACTGTGTTTTGACGCAACTGAAATACATCAATTATTGGAAAGAAGAAAATGAAGATTCACTAATCTTATGAATGTTTTTTTTAAAAGTCCTACTGAATTAAAGTCTGTTACAGGAAATTATGTATTGAATAAAAGTGCGAGTTTAAGTGTGAGTTTAATACTTGGCTAGACTATGTGTACAAATGAAATCTGTCTACAATGTTCTGCCTACTGGGAAATAGTATAAGACTTCTCATTATCTATCAGATAATCTTGCTGACTAAAGGGTTGGCAGTTTGAATCTGGGAAGTGGGGTGAGCTCCCATTGTTAGCCCCAGCTTCTGCCAACCTAGTAGTTTGAAAACATGCAGATGCGAGTAGATCAATAGGTACCGCTCTGGTGGTAAGGTAATGGTGCTCCATGAAGTTATGCCAGCCACATGATCTTGGAGGTATCTATGGACAACGACAGCTCTTCAGTTTAGAAATGGAGATGAGCACCAACCCCCAGAGTTGGGCATGACTGGACTTAATGTCAGGGAAAAACTTTTACCTTACTAATCCTTAAAAGTCACTTTCTTCAGTGATGTGAAAAGTAAAAGTGGAACAATAATAATTGTACTCAGCAGTAAACAAGTTCCAGTTTCCCCCTGTCCATTATGGAGAGAATGGCAGGGATGCTTAGTCATGGTCATGCTATAAAGTTGACATTTCTTCAATATTTTTAAATCTCCCACTTGTTTCATATGCACTGGGAAAGAAGTGAGTCGCTCATCTGTAACTGTGTTTGCTTAAGCTTATATAAAATAATAATAATAATAATATAAAACTTTATTTCTATACTGCCCTATCTCCCAAAAGGGACTAAGGGCGGTGAACAACAAAAGATCGGCAAACATTCAATGCCTGGAAAAAACATAACATTCCATAACATTCCATAATCATTCCTTTACCATTGTCAATTTTCTGAGCAGTTCTGGGATCAAAATTCAAGTATTTCTGGAGTTCAGGGGTCCAGTTTTTCATATCATTCTCACTGTATCTTCCTTTCCAGCGCAGGTGGCTCCAGGGGTTTTTCAACTGGAGGAATCGAAGTCCCTGGAGAAATGGGAAATAAAAAGCATTTGGATTACTCCATTTGAATATGTCTTTCTGAGAGCAAACATTATCAAAATCATTGAACTTGATCCAGAAGATGTACTTTAAAGCTTCCCTTCTTTTCAGCAATGCTACAAAGGGGTAGTATAAAACAAACTGGCAATCTGAAGAAGGCATTTCAAAAGTTATTAACTGCGTACCTTGTATTCTCGAATATCCAAGACAGCATACGCATGGGTTGGCACTAAACCCCATCTTTCTCCCTCCTCTTCTGTCATCATGCCCGTTGCTGTTGTAATGAGCACATCTCCCTTGTGAAATCTGGCCACCCAGAACAAGAAAATTTGCTTTAGGATTTGCTTCCAAGAAGACTGAACAAGCTTTGCTGTTTCTGATTCTTACTGTCCATTAACAACTCTTAATAGAGGGGGAAAGGAGCAGATGATATTCGGAAAAGTTTAATAGCATACATTATACCATAATTGATGCCACTCAGAGCTAATACAGTAGGAGCGGAAGAGAGCGTGTAAATGAATCCCCAAAAATGTAGTTGGGAAAACATATTCTAGAAGGAATTTAGTTCCTAAAACTTCTAATGAAGCCAGTTTCCAAGCATCTGATAGAAGCGATCCATGTCTGCTTATGGCACCCGAAATACTGAGTTACTGAAAAATATTTACATCCTTCTATCTTAGTCCAAACAAAGATGATCTATTGCCCAAAACATGTCAGTTTTTACAGTCTTCTTGTGAGACTACATTATCTGTTTTGAACTGGATTATATTAGTCTACACCAGGGGTCCTCAAACTAAGGCCTGGGGGCCGAAAGAGGCCCTCCAAGGTCAATTACCCGGCCCTTGGTCAGGGTCTTACTTACTTACTTACTTAGGCGATCCCTCGTTGGACGAGTAAGATGGTCTTCCGTTATGGATTTCTCTGTGGGTCCGTATGTGGCTGTGGAGCCCTATTCTTGCTCTGCATCTTCTTCCGCAGTGAGGGCATTGGTTTCCAGGTGGAAGGCGGTCCCGGTCGGGGTTGGCTTGACGCGCCTTCCTCCTGGCACGTTTCTCTCTTTCACCCTCCACTCGTGCCTCCTCAAATTCTGCAGCACTGCTGGTCACAGCTGTCCTCCCGCTGGAGCGCTCAAGGGCCAGGGCTTCCCAGTTCTCAGTGTCTATGCCAGAGTTTTTAAGGTTGGCTTTGAGCCCATCTTTAAATCTCTTTTCCTGTCCACCAACATTCCGTTTTCCGTTCTTAAGTTCGGAGTAGAGCAACTGCTTTGGGAGACGGTGGTCAGGCATCCGGACAACGTGGCCGGCCCAGCGGAGTTGATGTTGGAGGACCATCGCTTCAATGCTGGTGGTCTTTGCTTCTTCCAGCACACTGACGTTTGTCCGCTTGTCCTCCCAGGAGATTTGCAGGATTTTCCGGAGGCAGCGCTGATGGAATCGTTCCAGGAGTTGCATGTGACGTCTGTAGACAGTCCACGTCTCACAGGCATAGAGCAGGGTTGGGAGGACAATAGCTTTATAACAAGCACCTTGGTCTCCCTACGGATGTCCCGGTCCTCAAACACTCTCTGCTTCATTCTGGAAAATGCTGCACTTGCAGAGCTCAGGCGGTGTTGTATTTCGGCGTCGATGTTGACTTTGGTGGAGAGGTGGCTGCCAAGGTAGCGGAAATGGTCCACATTTTCTAATGTTACACCATTAAGCTGTATTACTGGCATTGGAGAGGGATTGGCTGGTGACTGCTGGAACAGCACCTTGGTTTTCTCAATGTTCAGTGACAGGCCGAGCTTCGTATGCTTCTGCGAAGGTGTTTAGAGTGGCTTGTAGATCTTCTTCTGAATGCGCACAGACGACATTGTCATCAGCATACTGGAGTTCTATAACAGATGTTGTTGTAACCTTGGTTTTGGCTTTCAGTCTGCTGAGGTTGAATAGCTTGCCATCTGTCCGATAGATGATTTCCACTCCGGTGGGAAGCTTCCCATCAACAAGGTGAAGTATCATAGCGATGAAGATCAGGGTCAACCTAAGTCTGAAATGACTTGAAAGCACATAACAACAACAACAATCCTATCTCATCAGCCAAAAGTAGGCCCACACTTTCTATTGAAATAGTAATAAGTTTATATTTGTTAAAATTGTTCTTCATTTTAATTATTCTATTGTTTTTAAGCATTTTTTGCACTACAAATAAGATATGTGCAGTGTGCATAGGAATTCATTCATGGTTTTTTCAAATTATAATCCGGCCCTCCAACAGTTTGAGGGACTGTGACCTGGCCCTCTGTTTAAAAAGTTTGAGGACCCCTGGTCTACACTGTCAGATAATCCACTTTAAAGCAGATAATCTGGATTTTATATGGCAATTTAGAAGGGGCCTAACACCCTACTACACTATGCTGGCTTTCTTTTAATCCAAGCATGTCACTTTCTCAGTCAGTTGTTCCCAACCTATTTTTGAAGAGGGACCACTTCAAAAGAGGGACCACTTGACCAAGGACCATTTTGACCAGGGACCACTCTCCAACAGTAGTACCAAAAGGGTTACAAATCAGTTTTTGGTCAACTTTAGATTTAGTTTGGTTATTTGTGGTACTGATTCAGAACACTGCATTGGATAGATCCATAAGCTCTAGTTTCTTATGAAGAACATATTGTTGTTGTTCATTCGTTCAGTCGTCTCCGACTCTTCGTGACCTCATGGACCAGCCCACGCCAGAGCTCCCTGTCGGCCGTTACCACCCCCAGCTCCCTCAAGGTCAGTCCAGTCACTTCAGGATGCCATCCATCCATCTTGCCCTTGGTCGGCCCCTCTTCCTTTTGCCTTCCACTTTCCCCAGCATAATTGTCTTCTCTAGGCTTTGCTGTCTCCTCATGATGTGGCCAAAGTACTTCAACTTTGTCTCTCGTATCCTTCCCTCCAATGAGCAGTCGGGCTTTATTTCCTGGAGGATGGACTGGTTGGATCTTCTCGCAGTCCAAGGCACTCTCAGCACTTTCCTCCAACACCACAGCTCAAAAGCATCCATCTTCCTTCGCTCAGCCTTCCCTAAGGTCCAGCTCTCACATCCGTAGGTGACTACAGGGAATACCATGGCTTTGACTAGGCGGATCTTTGTTGCCAGTCTGATGTCTCTAATCTTCACTATTTTATCGAGATTGGACATTGCTCTCCTCCCAAGAAGTAAGCGTCTTCTGATTTCCTGGCCACAGTCTGCATCTGCAGTAATCTTTGCACCTAGAAATACAAAGTCTGTCACGGCCTCCACGGTTTCTCCCTCTATTTTCCAGTTGTCAATCATTCTTGTTGCCATAATCTTGGGGTTTTTTTATGTTTAACTGCAACCCAGCTTTGCGCTTTCTTCTTTCACCTTGATTAGAAGGCTCCTCAGCTCCTCCTTCGCTTTCGGCCATCAGAGTGGTGTCATCTGCATATCTGAGGTTGTTAATGTTTCTTCCAGCAATTTTCACCCCAGCTTTGCATTCATCCAGCCCCGCACATCGCATGATGTGTTCTGCATACAAGTTAAAAAGGTTGGGTGAGAGTATGCAGCCTTGCCGTACGCCTTTCCCAATCTTGAACCAGTCTGTTGTTCCGTGGTCAGTTCTGACTGTTGCTACTTGGTCCTTGTACAGATTCCTCAGGAGAGAGACAAGGTGGCTTGGGATGCCCATCCCACTAAGAACTTGCCACAATTTATTATGATCCACACAGTCAAAGGCTTTAGAATAGTCAATGAAGCAGAAGTAGATGTTTTTCTGAAACTCCCTGCCTTGCTCCATTATCCAGCGGATATTGGCAATCTGGTCTCTCGTTCCTCTGCCTTTTCTAAACCCAGCTTGAACATCTGGCAACTCTCGCTCCATGTCTTGCTGGAGTCTTGCTGGAGAACATATATCATCCAGTAATCATCTGCTCGTCCACAAAAAAACCATATTTAATAAACCTTGGCACTATAAGAGGGTTTCACAAGACCAGTTGCTCTCATTGCAATGGTGTAGTAAAGGTGAGGTCGCAGACCATATTTTAGACCACAAGTTGGGAACCACTGTTCTAAATCAATCTGTCTCAGTAAAAACACAGAAAGATACATAGATAGATATAGAAAAGTCTACCTAGCCAAAAATGCCCTCACTCTTTCTAAAAAAAGAATTAAAAAGTAAATCTAATGAAAAATATTGTCAAGCTATTATGTTTATCATATTGTGTCCACAACCTTTTTAAAACCATTCATAACTCACCTTTGATAAAGCATTCTGAAGGAACTGTCTTTGTTAAAAGTCTGATTATCTGAGTGCATAGCAATCCTTTCAGGTATCCAGCCAGTTAATGCATGTAGATCAATATTCTGAAATGTAGACAGCGTTCATTAGCAGTAACAATGTGACATAAGTAAATCATACCACTGTTAGCATTATAAACATTAGAAACACTGCCACCTTTACAACTGTTCACAATAAACAGGTATTTTAATAACAGCGTCTGCTCTGAAACATTTTGTTCATTTCTTTTCTGTACAGGCAAACATGAGGATTCAGCACTGAACCAAAAAAAAGTGGTTTGCAAATGGATTTGTTGAAAGTACCTCAGATTGCAGAACACAAAAATACTTAGATAAGAGTTTTAAAAAGACAGCACTATAGCATATGACTCCAATCGTTTGGGTATTAAATATGGCGAATCTTTGTAAAAATTAAACTGAAAAGATTATAGTAGCAAGAGCTGAAGAATCAGACACAAACAGGAGACCCAAATGTGTTACATACCTAGAATTTTGGTGGACCAAAGATGCTTTGCAATGATGGAAAAAGCATAATAAGAACTCCTAAATCTAATAATCTATTTAATCTTCTCTAGCCAACCTCTTTTTTTTAAATGGATACTCACAGAATTTGATCCTGGGAAATCATAACCTCCCATGACTTTCATGTAAGCTTTTTCTATCAGTGACACCCAAAGTTCATTTTTGTTGTTCGAATAAGAGCAAAGAAGTTCTCCGCTGTGATCTACTGGTAAGAAATCATCAATGATTACCTGGAAAAATAGTACAGAAAACAAGGTCAAGCAGACAGTCCAAATAAGAAGGCTACTGAACACAGTGCTCTGAAGAAAGTCAAGACAAGAACAGTTCTCAAAACCATGCGTATAGACCAGGCGTTGGCAAACTTTGACCCTCCAGGTGTTTTGGACTTCAACTCCCACAATTCCTAACAGCCGGTAGGAGCTGAAGTAAAAAAAAATCTGGAGGGTCAAAGTTTGTCCATGCCTGCTACAGACGCTTACAAGAAATTGTGTAATTTGTGCAAAGGTAAATGTATCCCCAGACATTAAGTCTAGTCGTGTCTGACTCTGTGGCTCTCCATGCGGTCATGCTGGCCACATGACCTTGGAGGTGTCTATGGGCAAGAGCTGGCATTGTCCATAGACACCGCCAGTATGACCACATAGAGAGTAGTTACCTTCCCACAGAAGCTACCTATTCATCTACTCACATTTGCATGTTTTCGAACTGCTAGGTTGGCAAAAGCTGGGGCTAACAGTGGGAGCTCACCTCACTTCCCGGATTCAAACTGCCAACCCTTTAGTCAGCAAGTTCAGGCAGCTTAGCAGTTTAACCGCTGTGCCACCAGGGTGCTGTGCACCCTTAAACCATCTAGTTAAGCACCCAATTTCTTACCTTCCTGGGGACACCATTGATATGCAGCTTAACCATATATTTCCCGCAAGGATTATATTCTGGCTCTCCCTTTTTGTTCTGTGGGTAAATAATGCTATTTTGAAGAAGAGGGAAAGTGATAAAAAAAGAACAATCAGCAAATACTTCGCAGAAATGCTGTGAATCATAAAAGTTTGTTTCAATAGTGCTATCAATTTAAGAATTTATGGAAGAATGGCATTGCATTGTTCAATGTTTATTTGTGCCTCATTATATTGAAAAGGAGAAATCTCAATGGAGAAACACACCAGAGACTACAAAAGGGAGATTTTTTTTTTTACAAAGAAAATTTTTAGGGCCCTACTTCCTGTTTGTTTCAGTTTCCATTTTATGGCAATCATAGAATCACAGCAAATTAACTTATACATTAATGTTGCGAAAATAAAGATTCTGAGGTTTACATGTCTGGGTTTAGATACCATCATGAATACACAATGACTTACAACTAAAGTTTTATGGCTCAGATACCATGAAAAGAATGAGAAGACAGTTCTTGCAAAGTTGGTACACTTGTGTGGGTGAAATGAGGCTAGAGCAAATTTAAATCACCACAGAACGAATGCAGAGCACAGTAATGTTTTATTTCTAACACAAACATCAACAAAAAACCAAAATATAAATAATAAAATAACATAATTCTACTAGTCCGACATACCTGGTAATCAACTTCTTACTGTATCGTCGCTCATATGCTGCACTAATTGCAAGTGAAGCTACAAAAGAACAATCTGACACAATTGTCTGAAAAACAAGAATTTATCACATTATGAATTCATATCCTGCCTTTCTCCATTCAGAATCTCAAAAGAAGAAGTAAGGAATCAAGTTCAAAAACACCTACTACTACTACCACCACTACTACATCTTCTCCTTCTTTGTACTCTGCTTTTTCTCTCTCAAAAAGAGATTCAAAGTGGCTCACAATAAAACCAATACACTATAATTTAAAATCTAAAAATATACAATCATTAAAATAGAATTAAAGGTACTGTTTCATTATCTGGGTGGAGGCCAATAGGGGGTGCTAGAGAGAGGACACTCCGTTTTAGGGAGGAGTTGAACGAGGAAAACCATCCCCCCATCCTATTTATTCCCCCTGCCCTCTTTCTCATATCAAGGGTTCATTCCACAACGGGGCCATGAGAGTGTGTGTGTGTGTGTGGGGGGGGGGGGGGGGGGGGGGGGGGGGGGGGGGGGGGGGGGGGGGGGGATGGACGGACGGACGGACAGGAAAACTGATAGAAATGATTTTCCTCCTTCAACCCAGCCTCCACTCCCATAAAATGGACTATTGTCCTCTCACTAGCATATCTCTCTCTCTCACTCTAGCATTCCCTCTCTAGCATGGCCCAGATAATGAAACAGTACCAAATTAAATATGAACAGTAATAAAATAAACAGTTAAAAACCTTCAACCTAATTAAAAAACCTATTCATAGATAAAACCACAGCACCCCCAAATTTATCTTTAAAACTGTCCTCTTTAAAAGTCTGCCTGAAAAGAAAGGTTTTAACTTGCTGCTGGAAGGATAGCAGGGAGGGGGTCATTCTGGCTTCCCTGGGCAGGGAATTCCAGAGATGAGGGGCCCTCTCTCTCATTCCCACCAACAGAGCTTGCGATAGAGGTGGGACTGAGAGAAGGGCCTCTCCTGAAGATCTCATAGCCTGGGCAGGTTTGTACAGGGAGATGCGATCAGTCAAGCAGCCTGGACCTGAGCCGTCTAGGGCTTTAAGAGTCATAACCAACACTTTGAATTGTGCCTGGAAACAAACTGGCAGCCAGTGGAGCTGCCACAAAAGGGGGCTTGTCTGCTTCCTGATCTATTTACTTCTCTAAATTCATCTAATGTAATCCAACTTGAAGTACACACATTCAAAACAGTACACTTTACTTAACCCACATGTTGGATCTTCTTTTATAAATATTTACATTCCCATAATCTAGTAAGCATTAGTCTTCTGCTCCATAATCATGAACGATAATATTCACACATATTTTTAAGGGATGAAACCAATTTTATTCCCCTGTAAACTTTGAAGTAAACTTTGAAGTGCAGACTATCATAATTCCCATGTAGTGTAATAAACATCAAGTCCTTGGAGACTTGGGTTCTACTGTATCAAAGACTGAAAACAAAGCAACAGTTGTGATTTCTGAAAAATAACCTCAAGAACTAATGAGAACATTATTCGGAAGTCCAAAAGAGAGTTGCTGAAGGCATATAGCTTTTTGCATGATATCACACGATATCATGTTGTCTTCTTGGCAACATGGCCAGGAAGACAACTTGTCTTCTTTTCAATCATAATCCTAGTTTGCCTGTTTTCTTTTGTCTCTTACAAAAGTTAATGTGCCAGAGTTAACATTCCACATTAAATCCCTCTTCGTTTCACAGAATCTAAATATGTGTACATACTAGGAAACACCGCAGTGGAATTTACTAGACAAATGTACATCTCAAATTAGGAGGAAGTAGCATTAACTGAGAAGCTCCCAACTCATTCCTAATGACAGATGCAGAAAAATAAAATAAAAAGAGACTGGACATAAAATGGATCCCTACCTGTTTTATGCTGAAGCTGGACACAGTATAGATCATGGTGGGATTGTTTGTTATGTCATCTGGCCGTACCCATCGAGAAAACATGGCTTTTTGCTTGGGAGACAAAGGCAACTTGCCACATTTATCTCTGAATTGAAAAAAAATCAGAACTATTTGTGAAATGTAAAATGTTTATTTTCTCAAGCAGTAATTTCCAGTACATTTATAGTAGACTAGCTGTGCCCTGCCACGCGTTGCTGTGGCCTTTAGTAAGAGTTTTGAAGTCTCTGCCTGGCTTCTCTTCCTTCCTTCACTCGCCCTCTTTCCCTCTTTCTCTCTCTCACACTCCTTCCTTTCCTCTCTCTCTCTCTCTCTGGCATCCCTCCTTCCTCCCCCTTCTTTATGCTTGTGTGTAAACTTGAGTATCTTCTGTTGGTCATGGGGGTTCAGTGTGGCATGTTTGCCCCAATTCTGTCGTTGGTGGGGTTCAGGATGCTCTTTGAGTGTTGGTGAACTCTGAATCCCAGTGACTACAACTCCCAAATGTCAAGGTCTATTTCCCTCAAACTCCATCTGTGTGGATATTTGGGCGTATTGAATGCTTTGGTCCGGATCCATCATTGTGTCTTCAAAGTCGCCCCCTCCCTTCTCCCCACCCCTTCCCTCCCTGAGTCACTCCTTCCCTCCTCCCACCCCCTCCAGGGAGGGGGCGTGTCTTTCCGGAGGAGGGAGGAGGGAAGGAGTGTCTCAGGGAGGGAAGGGGTGGGGCGAAGGGAGGGGGCGTGTCTTTCCAGTGGGGATGTGGCGCGGCGAGGCTTGGAGTGTGCGGAGCGGGGCTTGGAGGCAGCGTGGGAGGAGTAAGATGAAGGAGGGGGTGGAGGGAAGGGGGCGGGGGGAAGTTGCGTTGTTTGTGTGTGTGTGTGTGCCGTGGGGAAGTGCGGTGACGTGTTCGCGCTGGGCGGGGCGAGGGAGGGAGGGAAGTGCATTGGCCATTCGGCCATGTGTGCGCGCGCGCTGGGGACTTTGCGCCAGTGCGCATGCTCAGTTGTTTTGCCGTTTTTTCTGTGTGTGGTTGTGTTGTTTTGATTTCTGACTGGATTAGTTTGTACCTAGTGGGTTGTCCTTGGGGCATGGCAATTTTGGTGGAGTTTTGTGGAGGGGTTTTAGAGTTTTGCTTCCCCGTTGGACGCCAGTAGGAAATTTATAGATATAGATTTTCAGCGTACCCATTAAAGATTCTGGGCAGTCCATCCTAATATTCTTGTTCTCTCTGATTCCTGGCTGCCCCAGTTCAGTATATTCATTTTCATTCTTTGAATGTGTTGGAATTCAACCCCACACTGCACAAGTCTCAAGTCCTCAATGAGGAACAGTTTAGTTAGCTTACTATAGAATAAGGGTTTTCCTTTCCCCCATTACTCCTGTATGAGAGTTGGGAATGTATCTTTTTCTTCTCTTTTCTTTCTGCTCTTATTCTGATTGATTGTGTAGAATGGATACTTTTCTATTGCAAGCTTTTTGAATCTGCCTTCTGCCTTCTTACACTTCAGTATGGAGAGTATGTGCTGTGTGCTTTGAGATCTCTATCTGCTAGTGTTTCAGGAAATATGTAGTGACTGAGTTTTTCCCTCTCTTGAAACCTTAGAAAAGATGGGTGTTAGAGTAGCTCAGACCCAGTTCCTGATAATTAAGAAATGCAGTTATTTCTTATTATTGTAAATAAACCTTTTGTTATTTTTAAAGTTTGGGCTTTGCATGTTTGCCTCCTAAAGCTCTGAATTCTTTAAAGCCACATCACACAGCACTTCACGATCTGCTTGCAAATGAGCTAATGCTCAACTTTTGTATCCTGTTTTTGGATGTTCTGCTTTATTTTAAGGTAGTTCTCCCTCACATAATGGTTTTGTATGGGCCTCTACTTATAACTTGCTTATCATCATAATACTGGCGATATTACATTTCACATCTTGCAATGCCAATATTCTCCTATAAAAGTCATATCCAACCAGAAACACACTGGCCTATAATTCTCATTATTCCAACCAGGTGCATGAACACTGGCCAACAACTGGTCAAGATGACTGTGAATGCAGTTAATCTGCAGACATTGAAAAAATACCAGTTTGGAAAAATCTGCCTACTGAGATCTTGGCTGTTTAGACCTGAATTTGGCTTTACACCTGGAATACTCCACAAATGGGTCAAAACTGCTTGGGATCTATAAACCATAAGACAAAAAGATATCTCCTCACAATAAAAGTTGTGCTACATGATTTCCAATTATTGTATTTTTCAGGTTCTGTTGCAATTTGAAATCCGAACACCAATACACTTAGTAATAAGTACTTATTACTACCCAAAGTTAATAGTCAAGTCAGCTTTGTAAAACCTTTGAAACTAATATATTTTAGCACGTGATATCATGGATTAAAATCCAATTCCTTGGATGCTCCTGGTGTAAGAACGACAAGAGATGCAGGAATAATTTCAGAGAGCCTATAGGTATGGCTATCTGAACTGAGGAACATAATGCAAATTAACGGAAGCACTGGCAAAGCTGCAATGTTAGATCAATAATGATTCTGAGATCCCAAGATACTTAGCTTCTAGATCCTTAGATGTTGCCTCTTCTAATTTCTCCTAGACCAGGGGTCCTCAAACTAAGGCCCGGGGGCCGGATGTGGCCCTCCAAGGTCATTTACCCGGCCCTCGCTCTGGGTCAACCTAACTCTGAAATTACTTGAAAGCACACAACAACAATAATCCTATCTCATCAGCCAAAAGCAGGTCTACACTTACCATTGAAATACTAATAAGTTTATAATTGTTAAAATTGTTTTTCATCTTAATTATAGTATTGCTTTTAAGTGTTTTTGCACTACTAATAAGATATGTGCAGTGTGCATAGGAATTCATTTTTTTTTCAAATTATAATCTGGCCCTCCAAAAGTTTGAGGGACTGTGACCTGGCCCTCTATTGAAAAAGTTTGTGGACCCCTGTCCTAGACCAATGGTGGGAATTATCTGGCCCTTCACATAATTCCAACCATTGCTGGACTGCAACTTCCAGCAGCAAATGGTGTAGAATGAGGCTTAGTATTGTAGTTGAACAATACCTTGAGAGCTTCATGATTCCTGTCACTCTTATACATTTAGAACCCAAATACTTTCCTACATTTACTTTATTATAGATTTCCATTTCCTCTTATAATGGTTACATGGAACAGTGCTTTGCCCGAGGTTTCCTGATGGTAACCGACAACAGTGCCTTTTATATATGAATGAGTACAATAAAGATGAGCAGATAGCAATGAGCTTTGCTTTTTGCACAGTAAGATTAAAGGAATAGCATAGCTGTTGTATTCATTTTCATTCTTTGATAGTGAACATTCTCAAGAATTTAAGAGACAAAACACATTTATTTATTATTATTATTTATTTACTTTACTTCTATACCGCTGTTCTCAGCCCGGAGGCGACTCACAGCGGTTCACAGCACACAGGAAACAGCAAAATTCAATGCACCAATATAAAAACACATTTAACAACCTAATCTAATACACAGTTAGTACACAATTACTATAATAACCATTCACTAGCGTCTCATCACTAAAAAACACGATCCAGATTCGTCATCCATTGTTCCATTCCTATGTCATTATCAATCATTGCACTAAATTATTTGAACGCCTGCACAAATAACCAGGTCTTTACTTTTTTTGCGGAATACCATTAGAGATGGTGCTAATCTAATGTCTGTGGGAAGGGCGTTCCACAGCCGGGGAGCCACCACCGAGAAGGCCCTATCTCTCGTCCCCGCCAGCCGTGCTTGTGAGGCTGGCGGGATCGAGAGCAGGGCCTCCCCGGAAGATCTCAAAGTCCTGGTGGGTTCAAGGAGCTATAAACTTATATTCACTTACGAAAAAGGAAGTGGAAAAGCAAAACGCTCTCTCAGGTCAACGCTCATGAAGGGAACATACTCGATACCATTTATCTTTGATGTCTTCCTGTTAACACAACATACAAGATATTAGAAGCATAAAACCATGCAAAGTCGATTTGTATCTTATCATAACAGACTCTTAAAGTACTGATGAAGTAATTTTCTCTGAGTAGAATTGACACAATGGAGGACCCAATTTCAAAAGTTTGAAATTGTTTCCTCTAATTTTTGCTAAAACTATGTGGTGTAGCAGTGTTTGACTAGGGGTACATTTGCACTGGGAATTAATGCAGTTAGACACCACGTTAACTGCCAATGCTATAGAAGCCTGGGAGATGTAATTTGGCTTTGGCCCCGTTTCATGACTTCAGCCGAACAATATGCTGAAACACTGCAGGAGAAACTTTTTCCAAAATAGAGTTTGAGGCCAATACAAAAATAGCATAAGCCCCTCCAGATATTAGTAAGCCTTGTAAAACTTGATTTCCTGCTATTACCTGAGCACCTCAATCTCTTCTGTTGTGTAGCGCTGGCCCTGAGGCTCACTGGCATGCACAGGTCTAACGGTTTGCGGCTTATCGTTCAAGGAAAAATCAGGTCCCAGTGGGAAAAAGGTTCTCACAGGCTGATTCGCTTTCACTGGTGCTGGTTTGTCCTTCTGAGATGGCTTTGAGTCTTTCAATGCCTCTGCTCTAAAATAATACAAAAGAACTTTGATTTTCAATAGAGCAATAATGGCTGCATAATTCAAACATGGTTGAACCTTTATGGATTTCTGCACATATTGATAAAGTTACACAAGTCACAAAATCCACTGTGTCTACTTAGTTGCCAAAGAAATTGACCAGACAATGTTACATGCTAATAATAAATATTTTTATTAAAAGAAAATGGAAAAAAATTACATTGAATAAGAAACAACAATGCGCAGCCAGGAATTTAGTAATATACAGCTCTTCCAAAAGCCAATGTTAGTATAAGATACAGGGTATTGGAATAAGCTACACCGTTTTCATGTCAGTATTCTCACCTGCCTCCATTAAAAGACATACATTTTCAAGATGCAGGAAATCTTGGCCTACTACCACTATAATACTCCCAAACGTTCATCACCTGTAAATGTCCACATCAACAGCTACTCCACAAGTTATGTATGGTCCAAGTCACACAATTCCAACACAAGGTCTGTCATAAATATTAAACATTAACTAGATATTTTTAATTACAAAAATGTGAGTCAAGCACTGAAAGGGTTAAATGGATGCAACGACTCAGCAAAAGCTGTAGTTCTATATAAGAAGATGTTCCTGTAACTTAATAGCCCTCAATCTGAGGTAGCTATTCTGTAGTCTGTGAAAGGTCTCTGTGGGAGAAGGGCCTCAGTGTGTTGGTAGGCCTCCGTGTGTGGTAGGCCTGGTGTGAGAAGCTTCAGCGAAAGGAATCCCCAGGTTGAAGGCCATCATGTGTGAAGCTCTAGTGTGAACCTCCTGTGTAACTTTGGTGTGAGAGGAGGCTCTGTGAGAGCGAAGCTGTTTATCTGCATGAGAAAGAAGCCCAGCGTGGAAGCAAAGAAGGAAGTATAAAGAACTTCATTTGTGTTATGGAAACCTTGTTCTTGTAAATAGTACAACCATTTTATTTTACTATAAAGAAAAGCTGCCAATGGAAGAGATAAAATTGGTCTGTGTGTTTTTGTTATTTTAATCACTTTTGGCTGCTGGTGCTGGGTCACGTTGCTGCTGATAAGTTACTCTGCTGTACATTTATGAGGAGGGTCTTCTGTTAATAAGCTCACTCACCCAACAAGGTCCAGCCCACCATGCCATTGTATTGGCCCTGCAAGGCTATCAATGCAAGGTCAACATAGTTACATTTATATAGTCCTAAAATTACGAACAGTGCTTTGAAGGCAACCATATAAGACTGATGTTTCCCTTAGTGAAAATCAGTTTGACACCACCTTAATGATGTGAGAAGTGTTTTTTTTAATAACAACAAATCTGGTGACGAGTCAACATCCGCATGTAGCCCAAGGGATGCTTTTTGACCACTTTTCTAGTGGAAGCATATTCTTTGCCAAGGGAATAATTGAGAGAAATTTCATGAGGGTTTTGCTTATTAAACTGAATAAATTACTTGAATACATTTCCCAACTCTCCCCAACCGCCTTCCGCCATGCTGCTATAGGATTTACATGCTTTTGTGACCGGCATTACAGGAGCTGAAGCGTTTTCTTAATGCAACAGAGATGAGCTGAAGGAAGCCTGCATATAATATACTTGCACAAAGTAATGAGAAAATTTACCTGTCCAATGCCTGTCGAGCCAACTGCTTCAGTTTTGTTTGGAGTACTGTTTCTGAAGTTTCATTTGCCTTTAACATTTAATTTTGAAAAAAGATTTTGAAAAACCCATAGTGTCAAGCTAGTACATCATACAAAGACACAACATCCAAGAGGTAGGCTGTAAGGAAATTTCAGCTACTTCTTTTTAAACCATTCCTACACAATTGCTATGCTGGGGCAAGAATTCTGACCATTTCGTAATATTGTTCATTTGTACATTGTCACCTTGAACCCTAGGGGAAAAATATCTGTTTCCATGTAGTCAAATGCTGAGTTAAGAACAAAAACAACCACACCAGTTAGGGGCATAATATCTGGAATAGCATTTCAATTAATTTCAATGGGGAAATTTGATTTGACCTCAAAGTCAAACCAATGAGCTGCTGAACTTGCTGACCAAAAGGTCAGTGGTTCGAATCTGGGGGGCAGGATGAGCTCCTGCTGTTAGCCCCAGCTTCTACCAACCTAGTCGTTTAAAAACATGTAAATGTGAGTAGATCAATAGGTACTGCTCTGGCAGGTTGGTAATAGCGCTCCATGCAGTCATGCTGGCCACATGACCTTGAAGGCGTCTATGGACAATGCTGGCCCTTCAGCTTAGAAATGGAGATGAGCACCCCCCCCCCAGAGTTGGACACGATGTCAAGGTGAAAACCTTACCTTTACTTAAGGGCAATTTGGGTTAAGAGCTTGGCCACAGAACGAATTAAACTTGTAAGTCAAGGTATCACTGTATAGTTAAATGTAACCAGACTTCTCACACATCTCTACAATTTCTTCATCATAAGTAACGAAGATGTGGTTCTAGGCTACAGCTCTCACCATCCCCAACAGTCATATTGGTTGGGCCTAATGGAAGCTGGGGTCTAACATCTGGAGCACACATTCACCGAGCATGTCATGTATGACTCAAAGTCAAACCACAGAGGGGTGACCTTTTATTATATTAAAGCATTTCCCATTTCTTTCAAAGGTAATAAATAAAGTATGGGTGTTGAAGCTTGACATGGTTTTTAGCTTTCTCCGTCAAAGAATACTGATGCCTCGCCAAACTAAAAATACGTTTCCATAGCATTGAGCCATGGCAGCTAAAGTGGTCTCAAACTACATTAATTCTACAGTGTAGATGCACTCTTAGATTAGTTTCCATACTATAGAAGAAAAGGGGAAAAGCTGCAGACATTCAAGGAAATTAAACATTGAGTCTTAAGTAGCAAGGTATTTTCCATGATGCACTTTCAAAACAGTTCATTCAAGAAATCAAGAGAAAGGAAATAATAGCACTTGGTGGAGTTACATCATGATAGTGAGCTCTTCCTGTAACAATTTTTTACTATTGGCTGGCTTTGTGTTTAAAAAGTGGTATCTGCATTAATTAGGGTTAGATCCATATCAATGGCAATTCCATGTGCACAATAACTTGTGGCTAATGCTCATTCAACTCAGAGGCTTAAATTTGCTTAGACATATGTAGAATTTTGCTATAAATTACTCAAGCTCAGAACTGATTGAAATCCAAGGGCTTTATGTAGTCCTCAATGAAATAAAACTTGGGTGCAACTAATTCACATGGGTGTCTTCTTTACAGCTCGAGAAGAGCAGTTAAGAGAGAATAAAGAAAATAATAATAATAATAATAATAATAATAATAATAATAATAATATAAAATTTTATTTCTAACCCGCCTATCTCCCCAGAGGGACTCAGAGTGGCTTACAAAACAAAAAGAACAGTGGCAACAATTCAATGCCATAAACAATAAATAATAAAATATAGCATATACTATTAAAAACACAACTGGACGACTTTGGCTAAAGGTGTAAATCAGTCAATCAGGATTCTAAGAGGGTATAATTAAGCAGTAAAATCTGTATAAAGTATGAAATATACAAGATATAGCTCTTCAATAAGTTACATAATCATTGTTGACTGGGTCCATCAGGGTTGAAAGGGGGTTGAAATCATCTGCTTTGTATTTTAACCCCATTTAATGCAGGAGGTGTATTCACATCAAATAGATAGCACAGTAAATGGACAGGAAACTCGCATCCAAAATATATCTCGAGTGTGGATGCAAGATGTGACATTTAATGCAAGGAAAAGTGTGTCAAATAAGAAAATACAGATTTATTTCATCCCAAAATAAGAAATACAAGTACCACTTTTTAATCCAGCGTCCAAGGGTGTGCATTCACATCATATTTTGAACTAACATGACTTGATAACAGCGGCTGGAAAAATAACCCACCAGTTTCCAATTACTCACAAAAAGAAATTATTTTTCCCAGATTTCTTTCCACAGGCTTCCTTCTCCACCATATTGAGCCAATACTCTGAGATATGATATGTGCACACACCCTATTTTTAAGGCATCTGCATAAATGGAAGAATGTCTTACCATAACATAATTCCACCAAGTTATGTGGTAGCTTTAACATACTGTTTTCAAACACAGCTCCACAGCTTCCGTGTAGAGCTCTATCGCTTCATCTCCGTTGCCTTTCTCATCTTCATCAAAAGCTTGTGTAACCAGGAAATGGGCCCGTTCCAACTCCAACTGCTGCTTTGACTTCAGAGGGTCAACTTTCTGAGAATGAACTGGATTAGGAGGAAAATCACAAGCTTTAATTTATTGACCAAAGAGACAATTTTGTTAGCTCATTTGCCTGCAAACAAAACCACAAGACCATGTTACTTCCATATGCCATGGAAACAATGTTTGTCAGCTGTTCCATTCATGTGTCCAAAAATGTACTGTCCTATATTGACTGCAAGCTACAATAAATCCATCTCGGTTAAGTCTTCAGGCAGACTGCTGGACTGTAATCACTATCATCCCAAATCAGCCAGGTTTGGAAATGGGAGTTATAGTACAACAGATCTGGAAAGTATGAGAGGACCAGGTTGAATAAGACCATTCTCAATGAGAATTTGGTGTTTTTTGTGATGCTGGAAAGCTGGGATGAAATTAAGTATCACACTTTGAAAATACAATGAGAAAATTATAACGGAGTTTCGTATTCAGCGCAAGAGAGCAATCTTCAGCCAATCTACATTTAATGTTGGGAGGCACTTCACACACAATGACAGGTCTTCAAGCTGTGGTAAGGTAGTATGTGGCCCTGAAAACTGAACATATACCCTTCACAGTGTTCCTACTTCAAGCACAGTTTTAATCACTGTAACAAAGAACTGGGATTGTGAGGGTATTGGTAATGCTATAGGATGTGTCTGGAAGATTCTTTAAATACAAGAAGGAGGTTACGTTTTTTTCCTTCAAGTTTTGTTTACTAACCTGCAGAATGTAGGGCCTGAACCCTTTCCAAATATTCACTTATTTTCCCTGGAATATTTTCCAATGTTGATCCTGCCATTGCAGCATAAATCAGTGCTTGTGCAGCTTCCTGGAGAGAGAGAAAATATAAATGTAAGTTTAAACTTTCTGGTTATTTTAATTTTATTATCTTACTGGCATATACAAATAGGAGTATGCTTGGCAAAAGGACAGATGCATTGCTGTGAAGTTACTACAAAAGTCTGTTGAAAATTCACATATTTGTAAAGGTTTGACTCCTATATGCTTAACAGTAATGGAAAAGAGCAAAATGCCTCGACTACCAATCTTGCTAAAGGACAAAATACAGATAAATCATATTTCACAGCTATGTGTATATAAAGGCTACAAATGACAACTTAACACAACAAAACCAGCAGTATACTAATCAAAATAGCTTATGAATGAAGCAGACCATTTCTGAAAGGGGATGTGTAACACTGGCTCCTAAAATCTTCCCATACAGTGACTAGCATCCCTATGAATAATACATCTATTCATTCAGCACAAGAGCACCACATGTTTATTAAAATAAGACTTACGGCATCAGATTTGGATACAAGGTCACCAAGGAATAACAGGTGCTGAAACCATACAATCAGCCCATCACATTTGTAGGATGAAGAAAGTGATAAAATTGCAAATATAATGACCCCCATATTATAAGACACAAAAAGTACAGTGTGATCTATGGATTAAATCCATCTTCTTTTGCAAGACACAAAAGGGCAGCTGTGATGTCACCTACTCCACTCTTAACAGGGTTGCATAAGTCTTGCACCTGCAGTCTTGCAGAGAGATTGGGAATACGAGCCAAATTTACAAATCCCTATTAAAATTACATAGGATAGTGACAATTAATCAACAAATGATGAAACCTGTGAAGGTTGAACCCTTAATTGCAGAGAATTGACTGTATTTCAGAGAAACGCCATTGCGAGCCACCTCTGAGCATTCATTGTCTAACCTAAGTAAACCCTATGAAATTCATGGAATCACCACAAGCCAACACACAACTTGAATGCGCACACATTATGGAAATATTGTTTCCAAGGCCCAGAAATAATTGTGTGTTGGTTTTGGGGACAGTCACATTTCATCATCTGAGAAGGTGTTGCAAAAGGTAGGGATAAAAACAGATGGACAAAGAGAGCCAATCTGAACACCATGAAACACACAGTAATTTTTCAGCTTTTCCAGAACTTTTCATCAGGTTTGATATTAAGGCTAATGGGGATGGGGCAGAGAGATTTAAACAAAAGCTGGAGATGACATCGGAGTCCTCTACAGTTTTGAACAGTCTCAAGTTGGAGTTGGCAATACCAAGATTTGATTAATTGTGCATTCGTGCTATGTGCAAAACAGTCTTCAGTATGTGGCAAGGGCTGCCGGGATGCAGGAACACTTCTCCCTTCTACTTCCGACGTTTCAGCGTGATGGCTTTTGCATACATAGCTAACGGCACCTGCCACTCACAAAAGAAAGACACCAGCAGGCTCAGAAGAAGACCGAAGCTTAGCAGAAATAGAAAATATCTTCAGGTTTAATAGAAACAGGAGACCCCGGTGGCGCAGTGCGTTAAAGCGCTGAGCTGCTGAGCTTGTTGACCGAAAGGTCGCAGGTTCGATTCTAGGGAGCGGTGTGAGCCATAGCTTCTGCCAAACTAGCAGTTTGAAAACATGCAAATGTAAGAAGATCTATAGGTACCGCTCCGGCGGGAAGGTAACGGCGCTCCATGCAGTGATGCCAGCCACATGACCTTGGAGGTATCTATGAACAACGCCGGCTCTTCGATTTAGAAATGGAGATGAGCACCACACCCCAGAGTCAGACATGACTGGACTTAATGTCAGGGGACAACCTTTATCTTAATAGAAACAACTGGATGAGAAATTCTAAGAGAGCAGAATGAGAATGAACACATGCTCAGAAGCATCAAAAAGCAAGTCAGGTCCTGGGAAGACGAGAAATGAGGTGGGAGAATGACAGGAGGAAAAAAACATCTTGGAGGAAAGAAACACTCCGAATAAAAGAGTGACTAGCAGAACTCCACAAAAACATTCTGATGCAATTTCTGTTTCTAACAGCTGTTACCAACAGAGTCTTTAGAGTTCAATTGAGATTCTGTTCAAGCAACATCTGCCAGTGTGGGTTAATTGCTTCAGTGCTATTTATTTCAAGGATACAAGAATGCATTATCACAAAATTCAGGATTTTTTTAAAAAAACGAACAGCACCCAGAATCCTCTAGATATGGTCATGCTGGCTGGAGATTTCTGGGAATGGCAGTCTCACAAAAAATCTTTTTCCAGACTCTGAACTAACATCATATATTACCAGGATGCAAAAGGTGCTTTTGTTTAGCCAAGAAGTTCTGTGCCCAAGTTCTTTATAAGACACAATGTGTTTCTTGCCATGTTTACAAAGGATTACTATGGTAATCAGCTAGTTAAATTGCTTAAGACTAAAGTACAGGGTGAGGCAGCATAACTTCCTTTTTTCAAAACTTAATAAAACCCATTGTATGAATCAGATTTTTTTTATAATGTAGGCGCATACCTAAAATTTTGTTTTACGTAGTTTTGAAGATCAAGTTAGGTAGGTGACGTCCCCCATTCTCCATACACTGAGTAAACCGATTTCTGGCGTTTGTCATGACTCTTGCCAGCATAGCAGGCGTTATGTTGGCAATTTCTTCCTGGATGTTGATCTTCAAATCTTGTAGGGTCCTTGGACGGTTCACATAAACACGGGATTTCAAAAAACCCCATAGAAAAAAAATCACAAGGGGCCAAATCTGGAGAGCGGGCTGGCCACTGCAAATCCGCTTGAAAAGTAGGCCTCAATGGCAAAAGCACGTTCCTCACTGTTCCAACACATGATGGTGACTGAACTGTGCCAGGACAAAACTTTATACTCCCGCCTCTCGAACGAGACCACTAGCACCCTGCTACATCTTCAACCAACTTAATGGCGCTCATTTTAAAAAAGGAAGTTATGCTGCTTCACCCTGTATCTGTCACTGTGTTGAGTTACTTTATGAACGCAGAATCCTTCTAAATTTGAAGAGCATTGAAAATACGTGTATATAACTCATTTAACAATGCCTCTTACAAGGAACCATGTTATAAGGCCTTTTAGTGTTTACCCAGCTCTCATTGTCTTCATCTATCTATCTCAGTGGTTCTCAATCTGTGGGTCCCCAGATGTTTTGGCCTTCAATTCCTAAACTGGCTGGGATTTCTGGGAGTTGTAGGTCAAAACACCTGGGGACCCACAGGTTGAGAAGCACTGAAGCACTGATCTATCTGGATGTTTTTCAGCAGTACTATCACTGGGAAGATAATAAAGGAGGGCCAGAGAAACCCAAAGTTCACCTTTTATACCAGGATGCTTGCAATGCACTAAAATCTGAATAGGAAAGGAATAGGATTTTCTCCTTACGGATCCTAAATAAGTGTATGTACAACAGGCAAGATAAACAGCAGCTGTCTCCAGAATGCCTTATATCTATGTAATTATAAAGAGAGAAAAGGAGAAAGTGGAACTGCCTCACCTGCCACCCCCAGCATACTAAGAAAGTTTGGCCACCAAATTTGTAAGGAAAGTGAAATAATAAATAATAATACACTTTATTTATATCCTGCCACAATCTCCTTGAAGGGACTCAGGGCGGCTCACAAGGCACTCCAGAGTATACATATAACATATAACATGTAAAAATGGTACAAAATTATAAAACAAGTCACATAAAATTATAACAAGGCTACCAAAAGAGATAAAATCATTCATGGAAGCATTATTAAAATGTTTTCAATTAATTCCCTAAAAAGTTTCAAAGTTTTTATTATACATATGCAAGACTTCCTTGCCATGGTTAATCTATTTCACACATGTGTATATTTTTATTAGTTTGCTATGACAATACTTTGTCTTTTTTTTGTACAGTAGGAACCTATCTCTATTTTTCCAATGATATTTCTGCCTCTAGTAGCAAAAACACTAAGAACACTTAGTTAATTAAGGTATAATTATAGACTGCTTTCTCATAATTTGATAATCAGCTCTAGGCAACTGAGCCACAGCTGCACAGGCAAACATATAAAGCTTTTGCAAAGAAAAAAAAGAAACACCTTCACTTGTATTGGAAGTAATTAACTGGCAATCAAAAGCACATCATACTCAGGTATAAGTTGATTTTATGTATATGCCGAGGATAGGTTTAGAGGCCAAAATTACAGATTTTAATATGACCCTTGATAAGTTGAGGGTCATTCCAAGGAGAAGGCATCCAAAAAGCCCTGGTATAATACTAGATAATTATTTGTTCTGTTATTTACTTTTGTATTTATTTTTTATGGCACCAGCAACAAAAGTTGAGGAGCATACCACCACCACTGCAGAAGGAGCCAGAACAGGAATGTGAACATGGGGAGAAGATGGCAGCCACCACTGAGGCAATGCATTTCTTACTCATATGTAAACCACTCTTCCCCGTTTTGAACAGCCCAGAAGGGAAAGAACTCAAGTACATCCAGGAGGAAGCTAAAAGGAGCACCAACTCATCAAAAGTGCTGCGCCGCCTCCATTTTTTCACCCAAGATTCCAAAAGGCCACGAGTGGTACTGCAGCAGAGACAAACACCTTGGCTTTTTAAACACACACACACACACACACACACACACACACACACACACACACACACATATATGGCAGTCAAAATACATAACTATGGCATATATATGAAAGAAGATGGAAGACAAATGATGAAATGACAGTGTGCTATAAATAAGGCCCAATTATGCATGACTAAAGATTCGTTTTCAGAATAATAGCCGCACCCTAAGTATATTGTTGATGTCAAGTCAAACAACATTTTAGAAATACCTATGGCATTTGATAACTACAATCTGACAGTAATCAAAGCAAATCATGTTTCTGAATCAGTGATCAAGGACATTCTGGAAATTTATTTTAGAGAATCGTTTGCTAGCTGGGGATGCCTTTAATCCAGGTTTCAACAACTGCTCCAAATATTATATGGAAACAATAAACAGCAAAGTATAATAGCAGTGCAGAACTTAATTGAATGGAGATGAAAATACACTTCTGTATTAAATGAGTTTTGTCAGAGAAGAAAGGTTTATGGCACAGGTTAGCCCTTTGCATTCATGGATTCTGTATCAATGGTTTGACACATTTTCCCCTCTTCCCCCTACTAAAAATCCCAAAATTAAACCTTGTTTTTGATATTTGATAAAAGGGACACTGCATGTAATGGGACTTGAGCATCCACAAATTTTGGTATCTGCAGTGGTAGGTAGCAACAACAACAACTTTATTTTTATACCTTGCCTCCATTTCCCTGAAGGGACTTGGGGTGGCTTACATGGAGCCAAGCCCAATACAGTTAAAACATAACACATTAAAATGTAAAGCAACAGTATAAAACAAAGCAAAATAAAAACAACAACATTATAACAAAATATAAAACAAAGGTCAAACCAACAACCAATGGCAAAGTTGAGTGTCTCGTCACGGGTGGGTGGACTTGTGCTACAACCTTTCAGAGGATAGTGCTAGTGAGTAAAATGCATAGGTCATATAGTAGCAGCGAGGATAACAACAATGTAAAATAAGTCATTATAACTTTGGATACAACACAATAGTAATAGTGTTGTAGATCCTAGAACCAAATCCCTGCAGATACCAATGACGCAATATAACAAAACAAAATCACAAAATAAAAAAAATTGGCGTAATTTGTTTACATTATGCACCTGCCTATAGTCATGCCTTATTTTTCTGACTTTAACTCTTCCGTGACTGCACTGCTGGGCTTGCTCAAGATGTACATGTAAGAAACTGCTGACTAATTCTGCACTCCCTGTTATGAAATTATTTGGGCATGTTGACACTCACAGCCTTGTAATAGGCTTCATAATGCCTCTTGGATATGCTCACTTGTGTTAAACACCTAGGGATTCAAGGAAGAGGGTATGTTCAGAAACCCCTGCTGGAAAGAGCATTCCCAATGTTGTTGTTATTTGCCTTCAAATTGTTTCTAACTTATAGTGATTATAAGGTGAACCTATCATGGGTTTTTACGGGTCTGAAATTGTGTGATTTGCCAAAGTTCATCCAGCGGGTTTCAATGGCTGTAGTAAGGAGTCCAATAGTCAAATCGGTACTATTCCATCATCCGGGTGGAGGCCACCAGGGGGCACTAGAGAGAGAGAAGGATAGTCCATTTTATGGTGGTGGGGGGAAGGAAAACAATTTCCCATGTTTTTGTTGTTATTTCCCCTCCCCCTTCCCATAACATAAACGAGAGTTGCTTCCACGCTGAGGACATTGGGGGGGGGGTAATAGCAGGAAAACTATATACCATATAATGGACATCCCTTTTCTCTCTAGCACCCCCTAGTGGCCTCCACCCAGATAATGGAACAGTGACATCAAATATCTACAGCAGTGGTTCTCAACCTTCTGAATGCCGCGACCCCTTAATAGAGTTCCTCAGGTTGTGTTGACCCCCAACCATAACATTATTTTCATTGCTACTTCATAACTGTGATTTTGCTACTGTTCTGAATCGTAATGTCAGTATCTGATATGCAGGATGGATTATCATTCACTAGACCAAATTGGGCACAAATACCCGATACATCCAAATTTGGGAGTTGTAGTTGCTGGGATTTATAGTTCACCTACAATCAAAGAGCATTCGTTACTCTTTGATGGAATTGAACCAATCTTGGCACACATGACTCCCATGAGCAACAGAAAATACTGGAAGAGTTTAGAGGGCATTGCCCTTGAGTTTGGGAGTTGTAGTTCACCTACATCCAGAGAGCACTGTGGACTCAGACAATGATGGACCAAACTTGGCACAAATACTCAATATGAACAAATGTGAACACTGGTGGAGTTTGGGGAAAACAGGCCTTGACATTTGGGAGTTGTAGTTGCTGGGATTTATAGTTCACCTATCAAAGATTATTCTGAACCGTACCAACAACAGAATTGGGCCAAACTTCCCACACAGAATCACCATGACCAACAGAAAATACTGTGTTTTCTGATGGTCTTTGGTGACCCCTCTGACACCTCCTCACGAGCCCCCTAGGGGTCCCGACCCCCAGGTTGAGAAACACTGATCTACAGCATGCTGGCTCTTTTAGAAACATATTTTTGGAATAAAGTCCAGTGTCATCAGCACCCTGAATTATGTTGGATACCTTCAAACCCAGATTCCATAGATTTCAAATAGATATGATCAACAGGTGGAAAGACGAATCAAACCCATGAAAACAATACCACTTGTGAGCCACTTTTCAGGTTCTGGGAATGGCACCTATACAGCAGGTTACAGATCTAAGGTTAAGGAAGGCCGTGTTGATGCTCCTCAATGAAAAGATACAATCCAATCTCTTGGCAAAACAAGAGTGTGCCAATTGGCTTCAGCAGCATCCCCTTCCCATGTTGCAGAATTATAGCAGTTTAACACTTTAACTGCCATGGTTCAATGCTAGAAAATCCTGGGATTTATAGTTTGTTGTGGCATGAGCGCACTCTTGCCCCTTTGATGCTGCATTGTAAAATCCAGATTATATGCTTTGAATTGGATTATATGGCAGTGTCAAGTCATATCGTCCACTTCAAAGCAGACAAAGTGGATAACCTGCTTTGATAATCTATTATATTAACAATTACATTTGGCCCGACCATAGGTTTTTACATTCTTGTGTTTTATTGTCTACGTGTGAGTTATACTAATTGTATTGCTTATTTTGCTTGTTGTTGTTTTTATTGATGTGTTGTTGGGCTTGGTCTCATGTAACCCGCTATGAGTCCCTTGGGGAGATGGTGGTGGGGTATAAATAAAGTTTATTATTATTATTATTATTTAAATTTGACAAAGGTCCGCCTAGTCAAAGCCATGGTATTCCCTGTAGTAACCTACGGATGTGAGAGCTGGACCTTAGGGAAGGCTGAGCGAAGGAAGATCGATGCTTTGAGCTGTGGTGTTGGAGGAAAGTTCTGAGAGTGCCTTGGACTGCGAGAAGATCCAACCAGTCCATCCTCCAGGAAATAAAGCCTGACTGCTCACTGGAGGGAAGCATACTAGAGACAAAGCTGAAGTACTTTGGCCACATCATGAGCAGACAGCAAAGCCTAGAGAAGACAATTATGCTGGGGAAAGTGGAAGGTAAAAGGAAGAGGGGCTGACCAAGGGCAAGATGGATGGATGGCATCCTTGAAGTGACTGGACTGACCTTGAAGGAGCTGGGGGTGGTGACGGCCGACAGGGAGCTCTGGCGTGGGCTGGTCCATGAGGTCACGAAGAGTCGGAGATGACTGAACGAATGCACAACTACAACATATGGCAGTGTAGAAAGGGGGCTCTTAAGTCCCAGACAGGCCCCTCCTATTCCAGGATCTGATCCCAGGTTTTCTATTTATCCCAGATTATCTGGCAGTTTGGACTCGTATAATCCATCAGAAAATCTGGGATGAGATCCTGGGATATAAGGCCGGTCTGGATGAGCCCTGAGAGATGCAGCTAAATGTCTCCCCAAACTATAAATCTGTATCCTTGAGCCCTGGAGTTAAAGCGGCCTCAAAGCAACACAATTCTGCAGTTGGGGTGCATCTACACTGAAGAATTGACGCAATTTGATGCCACGTTAACTAGCATGGCTGAATGCTATGGAATCCTGGGAGTTGTAGTGTGGAGAGGCACCAGTGCTCTTTGGCAGACTATACACCAGGCATGGGCAAACTTCGGCCCTCCAGGTGTTTTGGACTTCAACACCCACCATTCCTAACAGCCTCAGGCCCCTTCCTTAAGCGGCTGAGGGGGAAAAGAAAGGGGCCTGAGGCTGTTAGGAATGGTGGGAGTTGAAGTCCAAAACACCTGGAGGGCCGAAGTTTGCCCATGCCTGCTTTAAACCTTGTAAAACTATATCTCCATAGCTTTGACACACTTAAAGTGGTGTCAAACTGGGATAATTCTACAGTGTAGCCGCCTCCTTGCTAATCTCCAAGGCACGCCTCACTCCTATACCTTGTAGTAGAAGACGGCTTCTTGGTAGCGGCCTCCCTGGTCCCGCTGGACGGCCAGCTGTGCGAACTTGACGGCGTCCTGCTCCAAGGCCGCGGCATCCATGGCTGAGGAAGGCGATACGGGCCTCACTCTGCGAATACTTCCTCGCGCGACAGGCCCCGACCTTCCCTCCGGCCTCAGCGCCCAAACACAGCCACTTCCGGCATTGGCTTCCTCTTCCCTGACGTCACGGCACGCCTTGACCCTCATACGCCGACGCCGCCCCTGCCAGGACAGGAGCGCCCGCTTTCTCTTTCACTACACATGCGCAGTAGGTCGCCTCGGCCCTGCCAGGTGGTATGTAGAGTACTGTAGTTTGGCAGTGAAAGCAAGGTTGTGCTTCCTCAGACCAAGGTTGCACCTGTGGAAGATGCACCCCTACAAGGACTGCACACTGGACAATTATATCCGTTTTAATTACACTTGTAACTTTCATTGCTCCATCCCAAGAAAGCCAATGGGATTTTGGCCTGCATCAATAGGAGTATTATTATTATTATTATTATTATTATTATTATACTTTATTTATACCCCGCTAGCATCTCCCAAAGGATTCGATGCGGCTTACACAGGCCGAGGCCTCAACAACACAGCATAACAATACAATCAAGCAAATCAAACAAAAACAAAATAAAGCAAAGTAAACAACAGGCACAATACACTAAAACACAATAAAACTGGGCCGGGGCCAAAAGGTGGGTACAAGAATTAAAAGTACAGATGTGACAGGAGGTGTTTAAAGGGCTTCTAGGGCAAGTGCGATGTGCGGTGTGCAACAATCATTGGTTCTGGTAAAGTGCTTATGGGACTTGGTAGTGGAGATTTCTTAATCTGGGAAGGCGCATCGGAAAAGCCAGGTTTTTAAGTTCTTTCTGAAGACAGCCAATGAAGGGCCTGTCTAAGGTCTTTGGGGAGGGTGTTCCAGATGCTCCCCAAGGATATGAGACATGCCCCAACTTTGGCAGTCTTTAAGAGGAGCCTGAAAACGTGGTTGTTCCAGTGTGCCTTCTCAGAATAAGGAACCCTAAGCAACATGTCCCTAATCGCACTTTACTAATGATCTAGGATTGTCTGTAAAGATCCCTTACCTTGCCATGTAAAGATCCCTTACCTTGCCAGCCAGGGTGGCAGGGCCAGGAAAAGACAGGCTAGGTAGATTCAGTTAGAAGGCCTGGCAGAGTAGCTGCTAGGAGCCATTCAATAGTCAAGTAAGGGAAACGGCTCCAGGGGCCAGGTATTAAATGACATTGGGTTCACATCATGCAAACTCAGGGCTGAGGCCTTGTAGACGCAGCCCTGAAAACAGCATAGGATTAGGTTTTACCGAGAAAATAGGGTACGGAGTGGTGCTTAAGGCGAGAAAGGAACAAGGAGAATAAGAGAACAGTGAGATTTGACAGTATCACTTAGAGTAATAGTCAGTAGAGTTCTGTAGAGAAGATGCTATAGCAAAACAAACGATAAAAGAACAGGGCAAGGGCACGGAGAAGTTAGGAAGGTGAGGCGAGGTTAATGTTTGTAGTGAACTAACTTGTAATAGTTGCTTACAGACCACAAAAGCAAGCGCTATAACGTGGAAGAATAGACCTGAATAACGGAACGATACAGAGTACTGTGACAAGCGACTGAGACTTCAAACAGCTACCTATTTACGGGACAGCAAAAATAGAAAGCGGTGGTATTGATTTCTATTAGAGAAACCGACAACGAATAAGTAAACTAACAGAGTCGAAGATCAACGAACATTTCTCTGCACTAGCGTAATGAAAACCAATACGGCTTATTACCGAAAACTTAAGGGGAGACACTTTATCTTCACATCAAGACCTCAGTACATAGTCCCATTTTTGTGTATTATTTTTGTTTTTTTTTTATTTGATTTTCTCTTTATTTGTAACCTTGGTGTCCTTTTGTATGTATTGTGTACAGAGCGACAGCACTAAATTGACTAAAGAAGGTGATCAAGAGAACTACAACGACCGCCTCAAACGAGCTAGATATATTGAAGCCTTGAGAAAGGAAATTGCACCAGCAAGTACTTTAAGACCCTTTTAATCAATCTAGGCTGGTCCACAGGAAGAAGACAGCCCTAACGAATGTGATCATGATATCTGACCTTGGATTGAATGAAACCCCTATTTTTTATTAATTTCACAGAACAGCAGGCGTGCTCAAGTGTTTCTAATCTGTGGTTTGGATCTCAGCTCCCAGAATTCCTATCTGTTGGTTAGACTAGCTGGAGTTTCAGAGAGTTCAAGTCTCCCAAAAACCTGGAGGACCAAATTTTGGGAAGTATAGGCAATCCTCAAGTTACAAACACCCAACTTACAAATGACTCCTAGTTAAGAACAGGGGTGAGACAACAGGAGGTAAGAGAAATCTACCCTCGGAAGGCAAATTCACTCCTGAAAGATATAATATATATTGTTTGTAACTTGGGGAATGCCTGTTCTGCAAAGTCATTCCCCTGATCTATTTGGCTGAAAATTATGAAAAGTATCTCATAAAACTACCAGTACATATATCAGGAAATTGAACAGATTCCTTATGGTGCAAACACCTTTACCTCTGTTACCTGATGATACAACTTTAGGGCATGTTTGGAGCATATCTCCCTCTACGTTCTGCCTCATAGTTTAAGATCCACCGGGGAGGCCCTGCTCTGCGTCCCACCGGCCTCACAAACGCATCTGGTGGGGACGAGAGATGGGGCGTTCTCGGTGGTAACCCCCCCCCCCCCAACTTGTGGAATTCGTTCCCCAGCGAGATAAGATCGGCATCCTCCCTCCTTTCCTTTAGGAAAAAACTGAAATCGTGGTTTTGGCTAGCAGGCACAATGGCACTTTGGACATTGAAGTGGACTATATGATTGTTATGATAATGGAAATGGCTATTTGACTGTATAATTAATGTTATTGTTTTTAATCTATTGTATATTTATGGTTTTATATTGTTATATTTTGATTGCGGCATCGAATTGTTGCCAGTGTTAGCCGCTCTGAGTCCCCCCTCGGGGGTTSAGAAGGGCGGGGTAGAAATGTTGTAAATAAATAGATGTTTGATTTTTCCCTTTCTCCATCCTCCTATAGGAAATAATGGAGAATCTTGGCTTTTACTGTAAGAGTGATTGGATTCCAGCTCCCAGAAGCCCCAGCAAGCTTGGCCAACATTCAGGAATTCTGGGAGCTGAAGTCCAGAACATCTGGAGGGCCATGGATTGGAAAGTACTGCAAGTAGCACATGCCTTTGGGGAGGGGGGGGGGATAACTGAGGCTGCTACTACACACCAAAACTGAGGTAGATACCAGGAACAAAATTTGCAACCCCCTTGGATGCAGCTACACTGCAGAATTAATGCAGTTTGATACCACTTTAACTGCCATGACTTAATTCTATGAAATTCTGGGCATTGTAATTTTACAAGGTCTTTAGCCTTCTTTGCCAAAGAGTGCTGGTTTCAAGGGTTCCATAGCACTGAACCATAGTAGTTGCTATGAATGTAAGTGTCAAACTGCATTCATTCTATAGTGTAGAATGGAAAACATAGAACCATATTTATTTATTTATTTGCTATATCTGTATACTGCTCTTCTCAGCCCTCAGGTGACTCAGAGCGGTTAACAACAGCAAAATGCAATGCTCACAAACATCATAAAACAGTTGAAACAATTAAACAGTAGCATAATAAACCGTCAATATAAATCAATAAAACATCTCATTAGCGTCTCATAGTTAAAATCAAGATCCAGTCTCATCATCCCATTGTTCCATATTCCTATGTTCGTTACACTGCTTATTCAAATGCCTGCTTGAACAACCAGGTCTTCACTTTCCTCCGAAATGTCAACAGGGAGGGGGCCGATCTAGTATCTGTAGGAAGGGCGTTCCACAGTTGAGGGGGCACCACTGAGAAGGCCCTGTCTCTCGTCCCCGCCAAATGTACTTGTGACGCAGGCCGGACCGAGAGCAGGACCTCCCCAGATGATCTTAGCACCCTAGCTGGTTCATAGGAGATGTGTTCAGACAGGTAAGTTGGGCCAGAACCGTTTAGTGCTTTATAGGCTAAAGCCAGCACTTTGAATTGTGCCCAGTAGCAAACTGGCAGGCAGTGGAGCTGGCGCAACAGAGGAGTTGTACGCTCCTTGAGCGCCGCTCCCGTTAGTAACCTGGCTGCCGACCATTGGATCATTTGAAGCTTCCAGATAGTCTTCAAAGGCAACCCCACATAGAGGCGGCCCTAGGTAATTTTCAACGGTAAGCAAACAGTATTTTGGCACGCCCCCCCAACCAATCACTGATATATATTTTCTGTTCGTCATGGGAGTTTTGTGTGCCATATTTGGTTCAATTCCATCATTGGTGGAGTTCAGAATGCTCTTTGATTGTAGGTGAACTATACATCCCAGTAACTACAACTCGCATATGTCAAGGTCTATTTTCCCCAAGAGAGCCTCAAGAGTGCCCCTGGGCAAAATCAACTATACTGCAAATGCTTACTTTGCGTAATGGGTTGAGCCGCTCCTTACACATAGAGAGCGTTGCAGTAGTCTATATGGGATGTAACCAGAGCGTCGACCACCGTGGCCAAGTCAGACTTCCCAAGGTACGGGCACAGCTAGCACACAAGTTTTAATAGTGCAAAAGCTCCCCTGGTCACCACTGACCAGAATAATAGAAAGCACAATCAAAGCACCCCTGACAGATGGCTGTCTACCCTTTGTTTAAAAGCCTTCAAAAAAGGTGATTCCACCAGACTCCAAGGCAAAGAGTTCCATTGTTGAACAGCTCTCATGGTCAGAAAGTTTTTGCTAGGGCCCTTCCAAACAGGCCCTATAGCCCAACATGATGCTTCCCTCCCAACATGGGAGCCTACTGCTTGGGCTATGCTTTCCATGTGTGATAGGGGAAGCATCAGCGCAAAAGAGTAGCACATAAGGTGACTGATTTGTCCCCCCTGCTCTGTTTCTTAGGCGATAAGGTCACAGGACTCAGAGCAGTGGGTTCAAATTACAGGAAAGGAGATTCTACTTTGAGATAAGGGGTTGGGATCCATGGTTTAATAAGCAGTTTCCTTTCCCAGTTGCCTTTCTCAGTTGCTAGAATTCAAAGAGCTGGGAACTGTTACTAGCAATTGTAGAAGCTGAAGAGTATGAGGTTGGTGGTAGGTTGGAGATGTCGACAAGTTCCATTCTCTTCTAATGCACCACAGCCAATTTCTGGTTAGACTCCTTCAGCCACTGGCCAATTTGATTGCCTCTGCTCTTTATGAGATCATCCTATCACACCATTACCCTATATAGAAAAAATGAAAACGTGAATAGTTGAACAGAAAGCACTGTGGTCCTTAGCAATTGTATTTGACCGTGTGCTTTGTTTTAATAAACAATTTGGACTTTCTAGGATGTGGTAGCTAACAAAGCAAAGAAGAAGCCTAAGTCCTCCACTGTTTGCTTCCACTATTTATAAGCCCCACGGAGGAGTTGCAGCTGTTAAAGGAACTAGCTTGAAAGTAGCATGATACCATGTGAGTGAGGAAGATGGAAAAAACTGCTTATCCAGTTGGAAAATGCAATTTGGTTTTTAGGAGCTAGTCTGATCAAGCTCTTTTGCAACCCACACACGGGAGATTATAACGGTTCTTTTTGTATTCCAATATATTTAAGTTGGAATGAAAAAAACAGAATAGAGTAGACCAGTGATCTCCATTCTCTAATTCTTCCAGAAGCCCTGCCCATTGGTTGGGGCTATTCTAGGAGCTGAAGTCCAAAACTTCTGGGGGACCAATGTTTGACAATCACTGATGAGAAACATTTTAAAACTGTTATTTGATTTCAGTTCTGCTAAAACCACAAGTTCAAGGAGCCTGGAGTGTCTAGCTAACCTAGAAAGCCAAATCAGACACAAATGGGTTAGAAGGCAAAACCAGGGTTTTTTATTATTCCTGATCAGAAAGGATGTCAGCGGAGTCTGCTCCCAAAGACTGACATACCCCAACTGTGAACGCATGGGTTTATTTATAGTACATTTGACAGAAAGAAGCAGTATAGAACAATTGAAAAATGCCATTTTGGTTTCCCATTGGTCCTGGAGGGTGCCGGCTAGGATCCACAGCCACAGTTACACACAGTAGAGGATTCACAGAGGGAGTTCAGATAAGTGCTGTAGATGAAGGTTAGCCTAGATAATATCATGCTAGATGATAAAGGAAATTGGATTACAGTGATTTTCTCTGGGTGAAGATGAGACAAGGGCAAGGTGAGTTAGTGTTCTGGGGAATTTCATAGAAAGGTTACTTTTTAGGGCAATTAGAAATGACCATGTGGCTGGCTATATTCCAAAAGAGCCATGTCTTACAATTCAAGTATTTTATATAATTCATATTGTTGGGGGATCTAATGGCTTGGTAACAAAACCAGATTTAACCCTTTAAAAAGTAAAGGTTGTCCCCTGACATTAAATCCAGTCATGTCTGACTCTGGGGTGTGGTGCTCATCTCCATTTCTAAGCCGAAGAGCCAGCGTTGTCCATAGATACATCCAAGGTCATGTGGCTGGCATGACTGCATGGAATGCCGTTACCTTCCCGCCGGAGCGATACCTATTAATCTACTCACATTTGCATTTTCAAACTGCTAGGTTGGCAGAAGCTAGGGCTGACAGCGGAAGCTCACGCCGCTCCCCGGAATCGAACCTCTGACCTTTTGGTCAACAAGCTCAGCAGCTCAGCGCTTTAACCCACTGTGCCACCGGGGGCTCAGGAAACTGAAATTCTATCAGGCAATGAAGAATTTCCTTGAATATCATCTTTTAGACCCCTTCCACACAGCTATATAAAATCCACATTGAACTGGATTATATGGCAGTGTGGACTCAGATAACCCAGTTCAAAACAGATATTGTGGATTATCTGCCTTGATATTCTGGGTTACATGACTGGTGGAAGGGTCAGCGTGTGTACAGCACCCCACAATTATGTTATTACAATGGTCCAGAAGTTGACCAAGGTTTCAACTAAGGCTTTGTCAGAATAATCTGCTCAGGCAGTAAGAAATTCCAAAGAGTCTACAACAGGCCTGAGCAACTTCGTCCCTCCATATGTTTTGGACTTCAACTCCCAGAATTCCTAACGGCCAGTGAGCTGGCTGGGATTTCTGGGAGCTGAAGCCCAAAACACCCGGAGAGACAGAAGTTTGCCCATGCCTGGTCTACAAGAATCCACTCAGATGCAAAAGTTTCCTGGGTGGGCCATTTCAATTAGTCCTTCATCCCTACAGAGATTCTACCAAGCCAAAATTCTACCAGGTAGTGATCTGATGACAATGGAACTATATATCTTCTTCTGCTGCCAGATCACCTTCACCCACCAAATAAAGAAAGCCTCTCATCTCTCATGAGATCTGGTTTGGCATTGACAAGCCTCACTTATATTTTTGGCTGTGGGCTCATACAGACCAGACATAAGAATTGGAACTTGGAGGGGGTTGTTCCAATAATTACTGGGAGTTTTTGAAAACATACATCCATTTTCCCCCGCATCATTGTCTTCTCTAAGCTTTCCTGTCTTCTCATGATGTGGCCAAAGTACTTCATCTTGGCCTCTTCATATTGCCTCCAAATTACACCCAGCACTTAATCTTTCAGCCATTATTCTTTTTTTAAAATGCATTTTGTAATTTTAATGTTTACCTGACGTTGTTGATTTTTATTTTGTTCCATTTTATTTTACTGTTTGTGTTTTAATCTGTATTCTCAGGCTTGTCCCCTTGTAAGCTGCCCCGAGTCCCTTCGGGGACGTGGTGGCGAGGTATAAAAATAAAGTTGTTGTTGTTGTTGTTGTTGTTGTTATTATTGTTATAAGGCATATCCCCCTTTTTCTGTCCCAAAGGCGACTCATCTGTGAATTAGATGCTGGTGAAGAGAAGAGCCCAAGAGCTTGGGTGCATCTCCATTGTAGAATCAATGCAGTTTGACACTACTTTTAACTGCCATGGCTTAATGATATGGAATCCTGAGATTAGTGGTTCGGTGAGGCACAGTAGCCTTTCTGTCAAAGAATAAAGACAGCTTCCAGATTTGAGTCCCTTTCTATTTCCTTATTTCAAACAAAGGTCTATTAAATGAGAGGACAAGTTTGTATATTTTCTTTTAAAATGTCCATAGAAATTTTTTATATGAGAGATCAAATTTGTATATATCTTTTTTTAAAAAAATCTGTTGGAACTCCTGATTCAGAGTAGGACAATAAAGCACATTTGAGTGGGGAGAAATTAAACTCTGCACCATTTTTCTGATAAAATAATCTCCAGTCTGCTTTTATAGGCTCAGGGAAAAAAGTTGCAATGACCTTGGAGATTTCCTTTCCTTTCGGGATAAGGGCAATTTAGGATGATGGAGACAATTAAAATTGCAGGATCAGTCACATCTGATGTCCAACTGGCTACCCTCTATTTACTTGTGTTTCATCCTGTGTTATTTTAGTTAATGTAATATATAAACTAGCTGTGGTTTATATGTTTAAACAGCATGTGAGACCTTGTGTTCCATTCCAGCGAGGATACAGCTACTCTAAACAGCAAGGTCAATAATTTATAACATCCTTTTTGGGACTGAAATGAACAAGGAAACATCTGTACCACACAATCCAAACTGTCTAAATGCAAGCTTAGGCTTTAGTCCAATTATAGTTAGTCGTGAGCTTTCCACTGAATGCAAAGGCTCATAAATTAGAACAGATGGTCTCAATAGGATTTAATTATGACTAACCTGACCTAGCTTGAGGCAAAAAGACAATTAAAAAATTAAGGGTTTCTTCTTCTCACTTCCTTATTGCAGTAACTTAAATACAATTCCTGTATTTTTCTTCTTAGTATTATCAACATTGGAATCAAGAATTCCAGGTTATTGGAAAAGATTAACTAAGGGTCCTTCCAGACAGGCCCTCCATCCCAGGATCTGATTCCAGGTTTTCTGCTTTAAACTGGATTATATGAGTCTGCACTGCCAGATAATCTGGGATAAAATGAAAACCTGGGATCAGATCCTGAGATGTAGGGACTGTCTGGAAGGGGCCTAAGTTGATGTCCAGTACCTTCTGCTTGGTTCATCAGCTCAGTTTGTGGGGTGGAGGTGGGGGAGTGACATTATGGTTATCCCATTTGAGTGACACCTGCCCTAGTGACACTACTGTGATTGGGATCCAGTTTTTCCACATCAAAATAAAATTACTTATACTAAAAACAACTTTGTTCCTAGAGGAATGGGTGCTTGATGGTTCATTTTATTGGGATCCTGGAAAACAGAGCATTAGACCTCTTGGCTACAGGCCCAGTTTTATTCCCCTCCACAGTTGAAATGTATTACTTTTTACTATCATTTAAGTTATATTTGTCACAGCTTGCTTGGACTTGCCACATCTGTTTTTAATGAAAAGGAAGACAATATAATATTAAAAGAAGAAAACAATGGAGATAAATTTTATGTCTAGGCAAGATAAGATAATAAAATATTTCCTGTTTATAACTACGATTCCATTATGCTTTCACATCTAGAAAGTTTCCACTTTAAGGCATTTTGCATAGCAGCCATTTATAATACAATAATATAATATAATGATCTGATGTGTTCTCGAAGGCTTTCATGGCTGGAATCACTGGGTTGCTGTGAGTTTTTTAGGCTGTATGGCCATTAGGCTTGGGTGATCCAAAAAAAAAAAAAAGGTTCAAAACTCGTTTCGGATGTAGGGAGCACTGGCGATTCGATTTTGAAATGATTTCCGAACTTTTCTTGAAAAAAAGATCAGAAATATCAGGAAATCCTAATCGCTTCGTTTGCTTCGTTAATGGAAGGTGCCTCTCCCTCCTTCCAGAACCATTAAAATCTCGCAGTTTCCCTTCCTTCCCTTGCGGGGAGCTGCGATGCAGAGGGACAAGGCGGGCGTGGCTAAGCACAGATTTTAAAACTAACCTCGCAGTTTCCCTTCCTTGGGTGGCAACGAATGGCGATGGATTGCAGAGGGACGAGGCGGGCGTGGGTAAGAACAGCTCTTCCTGAAGGCCACTGGGGGCATGGCTTTCAGGAAGAGCTGTTCTTAGCCACGCCCACCTCATCCCTCTGCAATCCATCGCCGTTTGCTGCCATCCAGGTAAGGGAAACTGCGAGATTTTAAAACTAACCTCGCAGTTTCCCTTCCTTGGGTGGCAACGAACGGCGATGGATTGCAGAGGGACGAGATGGGCGTGGCTAAGAACAGCTCTTCCTGAAAGCCACTCCCCCAGTGGCCTTCAGGAAGAGCTGTTCTTAGCCATGCCCACCTCGTCCCTCTTTGCATCGCCGGGCATGCAAAGCCACATTCGAAAATAATTCCGAACAATGGGGAAGTTGTTTCAGTTTGGGATTACTCCTCCCACTATTCCTGCATGGCTCAAAATGGATCAAAAGGTAATTTAATCCGAATTAATTATGATTTTAGAAGCTTACGAAGGAACTTACCCAAGCCTAATGGTCATGTTCCAATTTCTTACTGACACAAAAACACAGTATGTCACAGCAAATGAGATCTATATGCTGGATTTCGTATCACAAAATCACAAGTCGAACACTTCCCAAGCGTCTAGGACTGTGTGATGTATTTTCAAATGATGCGTGCAAATCCAAGTAAGGTGGCCTTTTTTGTTTCATTTTAGTTTGTTTCATTTTAGTTTATTTTATATAATTCATATTGTTGGGGGATCTGATGTCTCAGCAACAAAACTAGATTTAGTCCTATAGGAAACTGAAATTCTGTCAGGGAATGGAGAATTTCCCTTAATATTATCTTTTAGACCCCTTCCACATCTGGAGGTGCTTTGATTATGATTTTATTCCATGACAGAATACAGGCGAATCTATTGCAGGCATCCTCAGAGGTTTTGTTCAGAGGTCTGTGGGAATGAGGCAGGTGAGGTGTATATATATCTGTGAAATATCCAGAGTGGGAGTAAGAACAACCCCAGGGGCCATCAAGTCCAATCCCTTTCTGTCATGCAATAAAAGCATAATCAAAGCACCTCCAACCGATGGCCATTTAGACTATGTTGTAATAATAATAATAATAATAATAATAATAATAATAATATCACGATCTGTCAGCTGCAAAAGGCCACCTTACTTGGATCTGCACGCATCATTCGAAAATACATCACACAGTCCTAGATGGTTGGGAAGCATTGACTTGTGATTTTGTGATATGAAATCCAGCATATAGATCTCATTTGCTGT